TCCAAAAGTTTTTCTTTAAAGTCTGTTCGAGTAATTACCATTATTATAAAATTGTCTACATACCATCTAAAGTCTCCTAAAATAGGACATCCTAGGTTATATAGCAAGGTGCTGGTTTTTTCTTCAAAGGTATTTGAATCACCCATAAAATTATGGATAATAAATATTATTAATGTTTCTACCATTAGTGAAATTTGTGTATTCCCTTCTTGTTTTATTGCTGTTAGAATAAAGTTTCTTTGTTCTGCAGTTAGGTAATTTTCCCACCATCCTTTTAAGGATCCAGTGAATCCTAGAATTAATAATTGTATAGTTTGTTCTTCTGTGTTCTTAGCTCTATAAGCCGAAACGGTCATAGCCATTTCATTAGTTTTTCTTCATAGTTGGTAATCGGTTAATCCATCTATATTCCATTTAGTTATTCTTGTTCCATTAAAAGTGGACGTGCTTTCTAAATTTCATTCTTCAAATTGTATATTTGGTAGGGTAGGTCTTCTATAGTAATTTCTAGTGGTTGACTATATTATGGGTATTAGGATTTACATTAAACTTGCTTCCTATTCTATTTATTTTTTTCTTTAAAATCTATATTTCCTATTTGATATCTATAATATTAATTTTCCTTAAATTTAATTGTTCTAATTTTTTATTTATTTCATCTAATATTCTATCATATTGATTTTCTATTTTAAATTCTTTGTATTCCTCATCGGATAGTCTTATAGGATTTATTAGGAATTTTTGCAGATTTGTTATTCCTAAAGAATTTATAGTGAGTGTTTTTTTCTTCTTCAATGGTCTTTTGAGCTAATTGATGTAATATTTAGTTTGTAAAATTTAATTGGCTATAAATATTTTGAATATCATTTATATTTAAAGGTTCGCTTATATTTCTCTTTTCCCTTATCATTTTGAAGAGTGATGCAATTACTTCATTATTTTCAATATTAAGAAATATAAATATAAATATATATATATATATATATATATATATATATATATATATATATATATATATATTGTCGCGGGTTGCACAATTGTCCCGTGGCGGAGGTCGGGTGGGCCAAGTCACAATCCAAGAGTGGGATACCTTGTAGGACAATTGCTGAGGGGAAGATTGTTGCAGGTAGCATCAATTGTCCTGTGATGAAGGTCAAGTGGACCGAGTCACAATTGAATCGTGGCGTTTGGGCTGTTAAAGTAAAAAGAATTGCGCTCTCACTAATAGCTATAGCTTTTGGTCTAGTGGTAAGCGCTTGATCCTAACAATTGGTATCAGAGCTAAGGTCACGAGTTCGATTCCTAGTGGGCAATTGTTGAGGGGGAGATTGTTGCAGGTTGCACAATTGTCCCATGGCGGAGGTCGGGTGGGCCGAGTCACAATTGAATCATGGCGTTTGGGCTGTTAAAGTAAAAAAAGTTGCGCTCTGACTAATAGCTATAGCTTTTGGCCTAGTGGTAAGCGCTCGATCCTAACATATATATATATATATATATATATATATATATATATATATATATATATATATATATATATATATATATATATATATATATATATACACACACACGCTAGGTAGTTTTGTGGCCAGTACAATTATAATTTTAAATATATTTTTAATATGTATTAATATATTATAAATTGTACTTATGATATAAATTTAACACTAAAAATAGTTTTTTACATAAATTTTATGGTACAAAGTAAATATTCATGATATATAATGCACGTGTAGAATACTACTTAAACTTTAAAACAATAAAGTATGAAATGTTGAATGCGTCCAATATTTGGTCTTAAGTAGAATCTTGTAAAAGATGAGAAACATAAACTTTCCAATAATAAACAAAAGGAATGATAAAACAGAAATTTACCCAACTGAGTGTTTGAATTGATAGGATAAAGTTAAAAGATGAATTAAAAAACAAAATTGAAAAGCTAGGGCTATGAAAATGCACATAAAGTCAAATATGAGAATAAATGAAAGTATGGAACTAAAGAATGAGATGCAAACGGATAGATGCCAAAATTAGTTAAATAATATACTTTATTTTAAGTTGTATAATTCTTTAATTTTACAATTTAACTATACAATGTTAAGATTAATGTATTAATTATGTCAATATATTCAGTTTATATAGTCTTATCATAAATATGGTTGCGTGTTTATTAGGTGAAGTTTATAAATAGTTCACTCTTTGGCATGTGTTAGGGAGGGAAAGTAAAGTAATTATGATTCTTTGTATTAATTTTATTTAAAAAAGAAGAAGGAAATGAACAAAAAAAAGTTTAGTACGAACATTTTTTTAAGAAAGATATTTTTCAATTTATAAATTAAAAAACTAAAATATATTTTAGTTTTTTATTTTCATATTTTTATTATTCATATTCTTCTTTATATATATATATTATCTTCTCCCATTCCATACACGCAAAACTTACTACTTTCCAAAACCTATTCAATAAAATGGTTTTTAAAAATAAAAATATAAAATACAATTAAATACATTTATTCATTTAATTTCAAATACGTGTCAACATAGCTTTATTATATTGACGCGTCTTTTTAGAGATAATTTATTGAAATAGCATCAAGATTTTTTTTTTAATGAAAAGTGCAAAATATTGGTGTTGCTTTCAATAAAGAACGAATACTACTTTATTATTATCTATTTATAAATTATAATATATATTTATATTTATTTATTAACACGTGTTTTGGTGAAGAGATGATGTTGTTAATTAGTAGATTAATTAAAGATATTTTTGCTAACTTTGCATCCAATGAAGGTGTCTATTGTGGAAGAATAAAATGCCTATAAAAAGAGTTTTTTTTTTTTTTTGTTTATAAATAACTTTTTGAATGAGCAAAGCAATAAAATATTTACGACCTAGGTTGTCAAAAGGCAATTCATGTAAACATGATTGGGCACTTTATTTGTCTTGTAATCAATAATAATTTTGGTTCCAACATGACTTGAATATTAGGGCACTAACTAAATCAATGTATTAATTAATTAAGATTTGTTCCAGATGTTTGGCAGGCTTTGGTCATAGCCCCACTTCCTACCTCTCCCTTAGGGCAAGAATCTCTCTTCATGCCTAATTTTTTATTCATTCTTTCTAATGTTTCATGTTAAACTATTTTGTTTGGTAAAATTTATGATATGACATTGTTTACGCATATTCTTAATATAGTAAATTTACTTAAGCTTTTCCAAAATAACAATAAAAGAATTATGTTTTAAAAATAACTTTTACAACTATTTGTTTAATAACGAGAATGTCTCAATAACGAGAAAGGTAGAGCACAGTTTGATGCCAAATACCAATAATGCACATGTGACCACGTTACATGTTTCAGATGGAAAGAAAATCCTAATTTTTAGGGTTTGGTTTATTGGGTCAAAGTGGGACCAAAATTCCAGAACCAACGTACTCTGTTATAAAACGTTTTAATTAAAAACCCCTCCATGTTAAACAGGAAAAATTGAAGAGGAAGAAAGTTTATCATCCAAAATTTCAAACAATTAAACCTTTACTTTAGTTTGATTTGACCACGTAAAAAGTACATAAATAAAATAATAATATTGATGATGTTACACATTCTTGAAGGCAAACAAAATTATTATACATTACCAAAAAAATGTGCAAATTTTAATAAGTTCGTGTTTTTAAAATTATATTTTAAACTCGATGAATTGATTTATAAATGATTGACCTTTAATTTTAAAATTATCTTAAGAAACTTATAATTTGAAAATTGCTTTCTGAAACAACTGAAAAGTTTAGATGAAATTTCTATTTTTATGAATGAAAATATTAAACTTCCAATAGTTTAGTGGGGCTTTATCCTTTTCGTGACGGATACTGTTAGTATATCTTGCATCACCAACAGCTGTGTGATGTATTCACAATTTTATTTCTTCTCTTTTTATAATCATATGAATTATTATATATTTGATATTTCCCTTTTCTAACATGTTCATATACTAAATAAATCATCCATATATTCAAATGTTAATATTTTTCAATTATGAGAAAATGACTTAAAAATTTACAGTATAAAAGATTTACATAATTACTCAATTAAAAATTGTTATGCATAAGAAGTTCATTGACTTTAATAAAAATTACCTTAAAAACTCTTTAGCTAGTCAATACATTAAAGTTAAATTAATTAGTTTCCTAGCAATGGTTAAAATTACTTAAATTGTGTTTGTATCAAGACATGAACACATTTTTCGAAATCTGAACATGAAATAAGACATTCTCAGGTTTGGTAAAAAGATTTAAGAACATTGCTGAGTCTCAGAGACATAAATTATTCTTACTTTTATCTTTATTTATTTCCTAAAATTTTAATTAATTTTTATAATATTGGTGGCTACAAAATTTTGTTGCAGTAATTGCTCTGTGATACATAAAATGTGATGCAGTAAGGAAGTGGCACGTGTTGGAGATTCGAAACTTGAAACTACGCCCACACCGTAGGCTTTTGATGTGGGTTAAAAGGGGCATTTTTCTTTGCATGGGAGGGACAAGCACACCCACAATTTAGTACAGTACTAATGTTTTTTGTTAGATAAAGCACCAAACAAAAGTAATATAATATAAGAGCTAAGTTCGTTTCATGTTTACTGTTCTTAGCTCTGGCTCTCTCACGTTCACAAGTCTAGAGAGAGAGAGAGAGAGAGGTGATGTGTCTCTATTTGAGCACAGTATATATATAGTAGCTGGAGGTATAATCAGTTACAACTATTGTGTACAGAGTAAACAATTTTTCGGGTGGTGGGGCAGTTGTCGGCTGAGGCAGTTGGACAAGGATTCCTGAGCTTTGTCTCAGACTGTTTTAGGAAGGGCTTCAGTTTTGTTTTGATTGTTGGGGTGGGGGGGTTTCTTCTTCTTCTTCTTCTTCTTCTTCTTGGTTTTAGTTTGTTTTCTCTTCACACCACAGGATATTTTTCACCGTTGCCGTTTCAATCTATACGAGGTTAGTTCAGTCAATCTTATCTCCAACTTTTGTTGTGGTGGAATTAGGATTTTGTGTGTTGTGTTGTGGATTAGTCGCGTAAGTGGTAGATTCTGTTGCTGAATTGGATGCCCTTTTTATTCAACGGACCCAGATAGTGTTTCTTGAAGAATATAAGCGTAGTTACTTGTTTTATGCAGATAGTGGAATGAAATGGGGTATTGATTCGTAGAATGTTAATGGGGGTATTGATTCACAGTGTGCATTTTTTTTTACTGAGTTGTATGATATGATGATGTCAATTAAGCTCCTTTGACAAGAAATACAGAAAAATTCCTGGGTTGTCACAGCTTTAGAAAGATCGAACATATCTTTTCAGGTTTAAAATTTAGAGCATTTGCAATGACGTTGAAAGAGGCGGAGTTTGCATTGACCTGATATTTGGTTTAGAAATGAACATGTAGATTACTTTACAGAATACATTTAAAATGTTTGCCTCCTTTATTTAATTGTTGCAAACAATGAGAAAGTAAAGGAACAAATTATGAAATATTTGCCTACTTTATTTCATTAAGATATTATTCTCCCTATATATTATACAGAAAGTAAGGTTGGTTCTCTGTAGTTAGGATATGATTGAAACAAATGCTTCATCATAAGCAACATCTTTAATATACCACTGGAGAAAGATTTTGACTACTTACAGTAAATGCACATCATTGACTAGCTTCACTACCTTCCTTGCCAGCAGTGGTTGAAGTCTCCCTTTAGCAAGTTTTTGAATTCCGGATATTAATTTGATCATGACATAACCATTTTGAGCAGGAGGAGCTGAGTGTTTTTTTATTTTTGTAATTTTGTATTTTGTGGGAAGATTCCAAAAAAATTCATTACTTCAGATACTTGCTAAAGGATTTCTTGTTGACCTTTTTTCTTCTGTTGCATTTTAAGACTCATTATGATGGTTGTACCAGTTTCAGAGCTCACCACGGAACACAATAGTGTCATAAAGGTGCTGAAGGAAGAGATGAGTTTCCTTATTATATCGGTCGGTGACATATTTAACCGTTTAAGGGAAATAGAACCTTTATTGGAGTTATCGAAATAAACCAGTGAAATCTGCTAGTCATGGACGAGAGTGAAAGGTAACATTCATAGATACTCTTCTCTGCTCCATTTGGTCTTGTGTTATGTATATTATGTTGTTCTGATTAAGTGTATTCTGTTCTGCTTGCATGCACTATTCTATCACTGTCTTGTAAAGTGTAGGTTTGAAGAGAAGTCCTTTTCAAATGGGGACGTCTACATTGGTAAAATCAAGGGCATACTTCCCCATGGAAAAGGAAAGTACATGTGGTCAGATGGAACAGTTTATGAAGGTGATTGGGTAGATGGAAAAATGATGGGGAAAGGACTAATTACATGGCCAAGAGGAGCAAAGTATGAGGGTGAATTCTCTGGGGGTTACCTTCATGGTCATGGCACCTTTACTCATTCCACCGGGTGCATTTATACAGGTGGCTGGAGGATGGATGCTTATCATGGGATTGGACGGAAGAAGTATTCCAATTCAGATATATATGATGGTTTATGGAAAGAAGGAATTCGTGAAGGCTGTGGTAGGTATTCGTGGGAAAATGGAAATATATATATTGGGAATTGGAAAAGTGGGCAAATAAATGGAAGAGGGGTTATGAAGTGGGCTAATGGTGATATTTTTGATGGTTGTTGGTTAAATGGGCTTAAACAAGGATCTGGAGTATATAGATTTGCTGATGGGGGGCTTTATATTGGGACATGGAGCAAGGGCCTAAAAGATGGAAAAGGAACATTCTATCCTGCTGGTAGTAAACAACCATCGCTGAAGAAGTTGTGCTCTCTTAACAGTGATGATATTGGTTTGTTATTGAATACAGAAAAACATACTCCTCCAAAACAAAAATTTACACGTAGTTTTTCTGAAAATATTTATGTCAGTGGTAGATCAAAAAGTTCTGGTCAAATATCTCACAGGACTTTATCATTAGATGCAAATTGCAGCCTTCAAAATCCTGCTGGAGATTGCATATGTCGTGACGCTTCACCCTCATTATCACAGACCTTGAATGGAAGTCAATCTGAGGCCTCATTATCTCCCTCTTTGGTTTATGAAAGGGAATATATGCAAGGAGTTCTAATTATGGAGAGAGTTAGGAATTATTCAGAAATGCCACATAAAAACAGACGGCAAAATAAGTTTAGCGTGAAGCAGGTTAAAAAGAGTTCATGGATAGATATTTTTGGGGGCCGCCGAAGCTATTATTTGAAACTTAATTTGCAGCTTGGCATCAGGTAAATTACATGATCTAACATCACCCTTCTAACCTATTTTGAAACAATGGATATAGTTTATGTTACCAATAATATCACCATTCTTTCTACTGCATTATACTAAGTGTTATTTTAAACTCAAGACCATGTGCAGAAAATGATTCAACAAGTTTCGAATAGTTAGCAATTTAGTGTACATTAGAGTGTATTGATACATACGTGCCCATTGATTTACGAATGAAAGATAAGGAATGATTTGTTTCATGTCATTCACAAGCAATACTGACAGAAATATTTTGGCATGAATAGAGAAGTAAACACGTTTTAGTACAAGAATTCCAAAACAATATATAGATGATAAAGGGAACATCCCAAGGGTTTTGGAGTCATAATCATTAAAAAGCTTATTCTTAAGGCAGATAGAAGGTTATTTAGTTTGCAGAAATGAATGGGTTAAATCACCTTTTTCAATAGTATTTTTAACATTGATAATGTCAATGCTGTAATGTGATTATTAGATGTTAGTCACTCAAGATGATCCGAGAGGGAAAATGTCGGAATATGAATAAATAGGAGGACTAAATGATATATTCTGTTGAATGCATGTAGATCTGATGTTGATTAGTAACTTTATTCAAACAAACTAAAACTATGGAAAAAGAACAATGTAAAATAAAAGATAAAAAAGGCCTCCCTCTTTACCTCAATCTTAAGTGCCATAAACTCCATTATATTTCTTGTGGTTTTACTGCAGTTTTGTTTAAAATAGTTGACATGAAAAAACAATGACAAAGAAATTACATTCACATCACGTAGGAGAAAATTGGAAAGAGGGGGGGTGGGGGATCTTGTTAAATCAAAGTTCATGTGTCTGGTTTATACCATTTGGTATTTTGGTCAATATGAAGGTTTGGTTACAGAAATTTGGCTGAATTCTCAGGTACACTGTTGGAAAAATTACACCAGTGCCTGCACGTGAAGTTCGGTCATCTGACTTTGGAGATCGAGCTAGGATAAGGATGTATTTCCCCAAGGAGGGTTCACAGTTGACTCCTCCACATTGTTCTATAGACTTCTACTGGAAAGATTATTGCCCTATGGTGTTCAGGTAGTCATCTACACCTCAAGAGTTATATATTTAGCATAACTATTGGAACCTTTTCCATGTAGTTGGATCAATTTATTTTAAAGGTTTAAAGACATGAAGGCCTTATTTCCTCTTGAATTTTGTTTGCTGTGTTAGCTTGTAAAACTAATAATGCATCAATTTATCTCCTATGAAGGACTTCCAAACTGGAGAATCAATGGTGAAAGTTTAGACCAACCCTTTTCCTTAGGGATGAATAAAGGAAGGAAATATGTCCAATTTTAAATGTGAGCAGTCATTATCAAAACAATTTACATAAATTCTAGATAATATGAATATGAGATTTTGGTGGTATATTAGAGTCATAGAGTGCTTAGACAGGGCTATGGTTTAGAAGCACATGATTTTTCAAGATATATTTATTGGCAGACTCAACATAAACAACCCCATATTTTCAAATTAGCACTTTGTCGATTAAGGAATTGAAGGTTTCATGTGCTTGATTTATGTATGCCTCCCGATATTTTTTTCTTCTTTCTTTGCATAATTTCATTAGCATATATTTCCAGGAATTTGAGAGAGATGTTCAAATTAGATGCTGCAGAGTACATGATGTCCATTTGTGGTGATTCTGGTCTAAGGGACATATCTTCACCTGGAAAAAGTGGCAGCATTTTCTTTCTTTCTCAAGATGATAGATTTGTGATAAAGACACTGAAAAAATATGAACTAAAGGTTTGCAATCACCTTTTTCTTCCTTAATGGATCAAAAATATTTTTATATCATTGTCTTGTGTTGAATTCAACTACTGGTATATGAGTTCAACTTCTTAAGAGTTCTTCAGTTGTAAACATAAGCATATTAGAGCGCATATAGACAGTCGAGTGATATACAATTCCATTGATACATACCACCCAACCCCATAGAGACCAGTAATACTTTATAGTGCCTCTAATCTGACTACAAAATTTAAGGATAAGGTTCAATGAAATTCAATGCCAAAATGGCTTGTTTAGGTCATTTGGATGAAAATTTCTGTAGAGTCATTTTTTGTCATATGGAGAAAAGACAATTGTTTATAAGTCCATCTTTGGCAATTAATCTAAACCAGCAGGACGTGCTAGTGCAAGTAATTTGATGACAATTTTCAAGGACAAAGTTAAAGAACTCCACTTATTTGATGACTATCTTTCTGACTCCTGTAGTTCCATAGACACTAATGATACTTCTAATGAATCTTATTTATCCAATTAAATGACAATTCCAAAGTTCATGGTTATGTATATGATACGATAAAAATGTTCTTGTTGTAGGTTATGCTCAATATGCTTCCTAAATACTACCATCACGTAGGAAGTTATGAGAATACTCTTATTACAAAATTCTTTGGCCTCCATCGAATAACACTAAGAGGTGGGAAAAAGGTATTACCAAATATCCATTTCTAGCTTCTTTTTAATTGGTACTACAGCTATAAATATCCGTGTTTTCCACCACGGCATGTGAGAAAAGGGTTGGTTGTTGTTGCTTTTGGATAAATATTTCCTTCTTTCTTCATTAGGTGCGCTTTGTGGTCATGGGGAATATGTTCTGCACAGAATTGCATATTCACCGTCGTTATGATCTGAAAGGGTCTTCTCAAGGAAGATATACAAAGGAAGAAAAAATTAATAGCAATACAACATTGAAAGATCTTGACCTAAAATATGAATTTCATATGGATAAAAAATTACGAGAATCCCTATTCAAGTGAGTTCCTACTTTTAAAAGCTATTTCTGGTAAAGTGATTATCTTGCATGAAATTCTGGTTGATTCCTATCTCTGCTCCCCAGTTTTGAAATAGAAAATAATTTTTGAAAGTATTAATAAGGTAAATGTATTGGGTTATCTCTAGTTTGAATCAAGCTTCTTGTTTGATCCTGCTATTATATATAGCTTTTATGATTAGTATCTGGTTATTTTCGGAGATATGAACTTTTAAAAGTTTATGTCTTTTCATAATTTCAAATTGGAAAGATTTATTTCTGAACTTTACATTCGGATTGGCAAACCAAATTGTGATCAACGTAGAGGTGTTGCATTGGATATAATAAGTGTAGGGGGTGATTAAATTTGTGATGAAACTGCTATCGAAGATTCCACTTATTTCAGTGAATTTTTTTATTTTTTATTTTTTTTCATTAGAGAAGCTATATATTGCTAAAAGTTATAATTCATAAATGGAATTCATCCAACTATGAATCACTGGGAGTCTATGGGTTTTATATGATTGTTACTACCATACTAGCATACTTCTCCAGGCACGTTTTAAAACTAAATTGTGTTGTTTGAAAGTAAATGCACTAAAATATTTATCAGGACTTGTTTTGGAATACTTATTGACTGAAGGATTAGAAAGCTTAGCTTCTAGTTATAACCTGAATCTGTTTTTCTGGTGCAGACAAATTTCTCTAGACTGCATGTTCTTGGAGTCTCAGCACATAATTGATTACAGTCTTCTTTTGGGATTACATTTTAGAGCTCCGGAGAATCTGAAGGCCTTAGTTGAACCTCCCAGACTAATGCAGCCTCAGTTTAGCTTACCTTCTGAAGATGGTAAATACCTCCTCTGATGCCATTTTAGAGCATAAGATGGGAGTTTTCTTTCAAAAGTTAGTGATCTTAGAAGGCACCTGGGATGGTTTATTAAGTAATTAAGATCTGTTTGGACAAACTTCTCCAAAAAGACTCTAGTGGAGAAAAATAAGAGGAAAAAATAAAATGAGTTTCTCGATAAGTTAAAATTAACTTCTAAACAAGTTAAAAAAATTAAAATTTAAAGAAGTTATATAGTGGGACTTTTACACGTTAACTTATACATAAATTAATTTTAATTTATGAAAAACTCATTTCATCTTTTTTCTCTCCTAGAAGTTCTTTTGAAGAAGTTTGTCCAAACAGGTCCTAATCCTTCTAAACATCCATGAAATGGTTAGAAAAATTTCGCCCTATCCCGTACTCCTTAAGTTCAGACAGTTCATTAAGCCTTTTTCCCAATGATATGCTTCCAGCTTTTGGGTGTAATTTATTAACGATACCTGATATATGCAAACTTGTGTGTTGATCATACGAGTTCACTAAACTAATTCTATTCTCTCTATTTCTTCTTGCATTTGTTCCTCAGTTTCTTTTGTAAGATTGAGCACTTTTTGCCTTGCTTTGCTTTGCCAGATCCACACAAACAAGGGGAGCAGTTGATCATTCCTAAAGGCTTGTTATTAGTTGCTCATGAACCCAGCTTTGTGAACACTGCACCTGGACCCCACATTAGAGGAAATACATTGAGAGCATACTCCATAGGTGACAAGGAAGTTGATCTTTTACTTCCTGGTACTGCAAGGTACCTCTATAACATTATTTTGTATGCGTCCTTTTTCAATATTCATTAATGTAGAACCTTTTACGAGTATATCTTCTTCCACTGTACTTCTCGTCTCTTTCTTTAATAACAAATCTTAGCAGAAATAATTTTTGTTGTGTTGCATTACAACGGTACATATCACATCTCAAATGGCGTGTTACTCAGGTTGCGAGTGCAGTTAGGAGTAAACATGCCAGCTCAAGCGACACGCAAAGTTCAGGAGGACAAGGTGGAGGAGTCAGAGGTAGAGCTTTTTGAGGTTTATGATGTAGTCCTATACATGGGAATAATTGATATATTGCAGGAATACACTGTGAAAAAGAAACTCGAGCATGCCTGCAAATCACTGCAATATGACCCTATGACTATATCAGTCGTGAAACCCAAGACTTATGCTGAACGTTTCATCAGTTTCATGGAGAAAAAAGTTTTTCCGGAGCCAGAGACTCCTTGAATATGTATATTTACCTTTCCTTCTTGGTTTAAATATTTCTTTGTAATCATTTGTTCTTAAGGAACAGTATTATGTTTTACCGACTTGGTCTAGTCATATTTTACATAATTCTTTACGAATTGTTTCTTTTTTCTACAGAGGGGCCTGCAATTCAGTCAAGATTAATCATCAAAAAGTTTACAAAACGATTGTTTGATGCAAATATACATTGACTTCCTGTTTCCAAAAAATTAAATTCAATAATTTTTTTGTATTACTTTTTAATAATGCTAAAATATTTCTTGTATCAAAATTTACTTTATGTTATGAGAAAAAGGATTTAACGCAAGACCCAGTTATAATTAATCTGAATTTCTTCCTCTTCTCCCTGTACCTCAACATTCTTGCCTCCCTACCAGAGGAAGATAAATGAAGAAGAAAGAGGAAAAGCAAGGAGAGATTAATTTGAAAATGACCTTCTAAATATAGGAAAACCAGGTTTATCAGTCTCGGGGACAACAGGTTCTGGGGCAAAATTTTTGGTGTAAATTGATTTGGAATAGGTTGATACCACCTTCTAAATCCTTCTTGGTTTGGAGAAGCTTACATAACAGGATATCAGCTAAGAATATTTAAAAAAAATGAGGTTTCTACATGGCTTCAAGATGTAGACTTTGCCGTAGGGATGAAGAATCTGTGCAGGATATTTTCTTGGATTGTCATTTGGCGAAGAAGCTTTGATCCTAGTTTAGCATAATTACAGGTGTAAGTCTTCTTCAAGTAGAGGATGGGGATTGGAGTGGTAAAGTAAAGGTGGTTTTATAGGTTATATTCTTATATACTGCTCAAATCTGGTTTTATAGAAATCAGATTATTTTCAGTAAGGGGTCATTGCATTATGAGAGAATGAAAACTAAAGTTTACCATGAAAACTAAAACATTTCATTGCATTATAAAGGAATTCATTATACTTAGAGTTCACTGTACCTCTTGCTAATGTGAATTATAATATAATATAATATAATATAGAAAAATATCATTTATTGAGTACAGAATTTGTAAGGTGAATACATAGTTATTTATATAAAAAAAATGTTTTCAAAGAATATATTGCATTAGACTAAGATGTGATGATTCAATATATAATCTAAATTTGTTCTTTAATACATGAAGTTAAATTTCTTAAACATGAAACTCTGAAAAATCTGTTTAGGCCCTAAATCTACACCATAAATCCTAAACTGTAAAACGAAACTGATATGAACATTCAGGTATTATTAGTAAAAGAATTCAAACCAAAGAAGTAATAACAAACAAGAAAAAAATGGGCTAAACCACGAAATACTAAGCCTTTGTTACCAGAAAAAAAATCTGGATTTCGATTTAACAAAATAATTGATCTCCTTTCTTCACTAATTGCTGAATAATTAGTATCTCTTGATTCTCAACTCAGTTTTGATTCAGAACTAATCCCTCCACTTTTTCTAGCTAAAGCAGCAGAACAAAAACTGAAAAAACTAAAGAAACAAAGGTTAAAAGAGAAGTATTGTACAATTCACTGGACAAGCCTTTTTATAAGATTTAAAAAAAAAATCCAAATTTGAACACACTTATTTTAAAACACTCTTTATTATGATTAAAGATTGCAAAATATAAATGAAGTTTAGTTAATAAATATTGAGAAATGTAAAGTTTTAAAATTTCTAATAAACTACAGGAAATAACATAAAATATGTCAAAGAATTAACATTTGTGTTGCTTCAATACCTTTTCACATGTGTTGCTTAGAAGGATGAACCTTGCTAGAAGCAATGACCGAGTTAACTGAAGCCTCAACAATGAACCTCTTGGAAGCAACAGAAACAGCATTTTCCTCCATTTTTCTTTCACTCTCAGCAGTTTCAATAAAGCTATCAACTCCAGTTTTTGACATTCTCTCAACTTCTTCTTCAAAGTACCTGAACTCTTCCATGGCACTGTCCATGATCCAATCAAAGTGATCCTCTGCTTGTTGCATAGTAGCCTCTGCTTCTTCCACCTCTTTGTCTTGCTCAAGTTCCACAGCTACCCATGCTTTGTATGACTCAATCTCAAACAGATTCATCAGGTCTTCCGATGTGAAAAGATCAAAACTTTTGTCATGCAAAGGTTCATCTGAGAAGAAGGTGAACTGGGAAATGAGGGTTTCCATTTTTCTCTTGAGAGTGAATTGTTGATGCAAATGTCATTGGTGAGGCATATTATAGGACAGGTATTTGCCTTTACAACGTTAATTTCTTTTGGCAGGAACTTGCTGTACCACGAGGTTCCTAACCAAAGTTGGACCAAATCTTAGCAAAAATTATTGTGGGACAGTGAAATATAAGTTATTATGATGTGAAAAAGGCTCAGAGAACCGTTGGAACTTCTTTTGTTTTCATCTCCAAGACAAGGGCTAAGGAATAAACTCTCTCATATTTAACACTTTGTCTTCAAGATGACTCTTCTGATATTAGGGCAATTTGATTCAAAAACTGATTTTCATGGATGGTTAAAAAATATATAATATATCTTATAGTTTTTATCTTTTTGTTTTTGTTTTTTTGAATTGTTGTGAACCTTTAAGGTAAAAGGGTGGAACAAAGCATCTAGTTAAGAAAACAAAAACATTTAGGTAAGGTTACCGTTAAGGTGGTGTCTGGTCTTGGTTGAGCAAATGAATGACTAAATGACAAAATAAATCTGTATTATACTTTTTTTTTTATGAAAAATATCTAAACAAAACTTAGAGACTAATATATTGAAATATTCAAATAACCTTCGTTCTTGTGAAGAAAAACTTGACCTGAATGAAGAAAAAATAAATTTAAGTTATATATATATATATATATATATATATATATATAAATCATTTTAAATAAGTTTTATTAATATTTAAATTTATGTTAAAGAAATTAATTTTTCATTTATAAATTAATGCTACCTTATGCATTTTTTTAATAATTTTTCTATTTTATATAGAAAAATATTTTCTATATCAAACAATGAAATTATCTAATAATAAAAACAAAGCCTTATATTAAATAATTAAATACATAAAACATAATTATATTTATTAATAAAAAATATTATATAATTTTATAAAAGTTTAGAATTTTGTAGTCTAACGCTTTAATTATAACTTAATGATGTTAATAAATGAAAATACATCAACATACTTTCAAAAGAAAAGAAGCTAAATTTTCTTAAAAAATGGAAAGGATAGTTGTTTTATTTAAACTTTTTATTTAATTTTTTTATGTATTTTATTATTTTTACCTATTTTATTTATCTAGTAAATATATAATATGTGAAGTATCATGAAAAATCGTAAAAAATAAAATAAAAATAACTTTATTTTACAAAAAAATTTAAATTTTTTTTACAGATGTTTTATTTTTTTCATGGCACCTGAACGCCATTACACATTTAATAAATGAATGTGTAACTTTAAAAAAATACAATAATAATAATAATAACATATGAAAATAAATTTAGAAAATAAAATTAAAAAAAGGAAAAGAAAAAGAATGATGACATAAAATCCTAAAAGAAAATTGCTACTTAAAATAATGTTAGTTAAGTTATAAAACAGATAATTAAGTCAAAGTCTTTTTTGTTATAATTAATTTATGTTTATTTTATTTTATTCTTTTCTCTTATTTTTTTAATGTATTTAAGTATTATATATTTTCATATATTTAACTTTTTTAAATATATAAATCTTAATAAATATTTTTTTAAATATATTTAATTTTTCTCCTTACCTATAAACTCGCTGAATTTCATGTTAAATATGCTACTTCTTTTTGTTTATTCTATTTTTTGTAGAGATAGCCAAAAAGAATATTTTAGAAAATATTTGGTATAAATAAAAGTCAAATTGACCAAAATGGTAAATAAAGAAAGAAAAAAAAGTCAATAGAAATAAAACAATCAATTTTTTTTCATAAAAAAATAAATTTGATTTGTCAAAATTGTTCTTGTGGTTTTTAAAATAATTCCAATTTGGACAGTTCATTCAATAGATGGAATGAAAAATTAGTCAAATAGTTCAAATTTGGTTGACAAACATAAATGGGAATCAAGACAAAAAAAAGTCAAATTATTTAATATTTTAAATACTATATTATTCTAGACTCTTTAAAATTTTAAAGATTCTTTTTCTGGTCTTTTTAAATTTTAAACGTGTTTTTTAAGTGATTGTTATTAATATTTAACTGTAAGTTCAATAATTTTTTGTGTTAGAACTATCATAATTTTTCATCTAATTATCACCAATAAAATCTAAAAAATATTACGAAAATAATATTTTTATAAAATATTTAATACATTTAAAATTTTAGAAAGTCGTAAACATATTTATTATTATTATTTAAGTATTTAATATTAAATTTTTTATTTCATATAAAACGATTTTATGTTAATTTAAAAATTTGTTAAACTTAAAATTTGAAAATTTTTTATTTAATATATTATAAATAAATAATAAAAATTAATTATTTTCTATTTAATTTTAGTATAGAACCATTACCGTGAATCAATCATTACACTAATTCAGTTGTCGGACTAATTTTAACAATAATTTTACTAATTAATCATCATTCAAATTTTTATTTTTCAACTGTTTTAATTAAAATTTTAAAATGTTTTTTATGGTGATTTTAATTTGAAAATAAAGATAAAATAAAATCATAATGATAATTTATATAATTATATAATCAGATAGATTTGAAAAATAAGCATGTTAGGTGAGTAGAGAGAGAAAGAGAAATAGATTAAAAAAAAATATAAATATAAGAATTAGAAAATAGATAAAAGTGAGATTAAAGAGCAAAACCCACCCTATGAGATCCAAATAGTGAAGGGAGGAAGAAAAAAAATATTGTAATTTTGTGTAAAGAGAGAGAGAGAGAAGAGGCTATGGGGAACAGAGGTGTGTCAAAGTTGTTACTCCTGTTCTTCTTCTTCTTCTTCTCAACCAATTTGGTTCCTTCCGCTCTCGCTATCTGGCTCACTTTACCCGCCAGTGGCACCAAGTGCGTCTCCGAAGAAATCCAACATAACGTCGTCGTTTTGGCCGACTATGTCATTATTCCCACTGATCACTCCCACAATCCTACCATCGCTGTCAAGGTATATCTTTTCCCTTTTGTTCTGTCAATTTTTTATTTATTTGTTTTTTCCGAGAAAATTGAGGTTCAACTGAATCAACTTCCTTGATTTGCGTGTTGTGTGCCTGTTGTGAATCTTGATGGGTTTCGGGTGGGCTTGTTTGTCGTGGATTTGGGAAAATTATTGTGTGTTCATTGGTTGTGTCGTCTGGGGGGTCTATGTTGGTTGCTGTCTTTTGTACTTTGAAAGGTAAAAATATGTATTTGACACTTTGCAGAGGTGTTGCTTGCTTAATCGATTAGTTGGGAGATCATTTTAATTTTGATTAATGTAGGTTAATATTACGTGTTATCTTTGGGAATTTTTTATCCTATTATCTTATGTTGATCATGAAATTTTGTGTGATACACCATGCGTGTTTATCCTCGTTTGTGGTGTTATAATGCTATGAATTTATATATATATATATATATCAGTGAATGTAATATTTGTAGCTTAAAAGTTCTCCAAATTTCCTGGTATATGCTTGTGGAGCCGGAACGGTCTAGTTGTTTGCCCTAGAGAATGCAATTGCCAGGCAGTTAAGGCTCGGTTTGAACTGAAAAATCCTCAGTGAGGCTCTATTATGTGCTAACTGATATGACCCGGATTGATCATGACCATGTAATGAGTGTGTTCTCTAATGGTTACGGCCTTTTTAAGAATCTAGAATTTAAGGAGGGGTTGGTGGTGCCAATGGAGCGTTGATCACGTGTGTAGAATATCCTATTCTGGGCCTGAGAGTTCAAGACTCACAGGCCCTTTAAGCCCCAAGAGGGATGGTCTTAGTTTGTGATATGATGTGGTGAATCGGTTATAATGGATGGTTGGTCTATGAGTGTGGGCCAGCCCCTATTAAGCACTATGCTTAATGGATGTTTCGTACTAAGTCAATGACGTGAATCATAAGGGGTGATTTAGAATCTTTAAGGTTAGAACCTTATAGGAAATTTAGGAATTTAGTGATAAGGTGGAAGGAAAGAATAACTCTTCCCAAGGAAAACAACTCACAAAGGATGTGAAAGTCCTTTGATATAGCCAAGTGTTCTTGAATCACTCAAGAACTTAGGAGAATCACTTTCACTAAAATAAAAGAGATAAACTCTAATAGTTCTGAATAAAATTCCATTTGTTATTTTTGATAAAAATAGTTCAGCCTATATAGAAGTTTTGCCATTAGAATTATAAAGATTTAATAAAAGAAAATAATGCTAATAATGATTCATTATCCTAGGAATTGAAAACTACTTAATGATTGATTATAATTGAAATTGTAGCATCCAAAAGTCAATCAGCTATACACCCTGTTGGTCTCCCAAAGACTGATAACTCAATTTCCAATTGGGCCCTTATTACAACTTGCAGTAAAACCAAACTAAAGTCCATTAATTGATTAATCCAAAACACAATTTGATCAACCAACAATACTTGTTAAAGAAATTTCTTTATTTCCCTTACTCTAGCCCTATTATAGGTCATGTTTACATCATTCTCTCCCTCTTGAAAAGGATTTATCCTCAAATCGGATTCGTCATCTACATAAAAAAGAGATAAGTCTGCCAAATTGAATGTAGAACTAACATTATAATCACTTTTTATGGCTAAATAGTTCTCTCTCACTTCAAGTATTTCATTCTTCGTCTTCTTTTTCTCTTTTCTTAAAGAAATTTTTCTCTCATTTTTTTTTTATCCTCCTCTGCCATCAATTTGATGTTCAAACCTTTAAACCGGAGCTCTGAATACCAACTGATGTGAATCACAAGGGGTGATTTAGGATCTTTTAAGGTTAGAACCTTGTAGAAAATTTAAGAATTTAGTGATAAGGTGGAAGGAAAGAATCACTCTTCTCAAGGAAGACAATTCACAAAGGATGTGAAAGTCCTTTGATACAACCCAAGTGTTCTTGAATCACTCAAGAACTTAGGAGAATCACTCTCATTAAAATAAAAGAGATAAACTCTAATAGTTCTGAATAAAATTTCACTTGTTATTTTTGATAAAAATGGTTCAGCCTATATAGAAGCTTTGCCATTAGAATTACAAAGATTTAATAAAAAGAAAATAAATGCTAATAATGATTCATTAACCTAGGAATTAAAAACTGCTTACTGATTGATTATAACTGAAATTGTGGCATCCAAAAGTCAATCAGCTATACACTCTTTTGGTCTCCCAAAGACTGATAACTAAATTTCCAATTGGACCCTTATTTCAATTTGCTATAAAACCAAACTAAAGTCCATTAATTGATTAATTCAAAACACAATTTGATCAACTAACAATACTTGTTGAAGAACTTTCTTTGTTTTCTTTGCTCTAGCCCTTATCATAGGTCATGTTCACATCAGCCAAGCACTTTTGCACTGATTCTTTGCCAGACTGATCAAATGAATAATTTGCTTCTGGAGATCAGGTGGCAATGGAAAGGCAAAAAACATCTTAAAATATATGGTTGCATGCATAATGGTAATAATGTCCTATGACATGGTTCACAGAGTAGTATTCTTGCTATGTTGAGTGGTTGCCAATATCAAAGAAGACAGCAGAGTTCGAGACTTTAATAGTGTTGGGAACTGATAATAACTGTTACAAGAAGTTATCTATCATTAGATATGAGTGTAACGATAGCTGTCATGTTGGAAGTATGTAGTCCGGTATAGTAATGAGTTATGTGTGTAGTAATTTAAGTTTGGACGGAGAATAATCTCTATAGGAGTCATAAGACAGGGGAACAAAAACCCTTTTTGCTGCATTGTGTGAATTTTGTGATTCAGTACAGAAAAAAACGACTAATTTATCAATTCATGTTCTATTAGATACCTTAGCTACCTGATGCATGGATCCCTTGCATGATAAATAACTTCATATAAATATTTCCAAGTCTGAACAGAAATAAGATTGAATAATTGTGAAAAACTTGTACTTGGAAGCATTTTAAATTTTTACTACCTAGTAATAGTTTAATTTCTGTTGTTAGTGTTACTTGTGTCTATGTGTTATCAAGATGTAATTCTGATGGGTTGACTCTTCAATGGCAACCTTCTAGTTTCAGCTTGTTAAAAAGGTCTGTTACTTGTCTGTTGGTTTCTAATAGTATTATGTTTCCTTTAGGTGACATCACCGTATGGAAACAATCTTCATCACGGGGAGAACACAACACATGGTAATATCGCCTTTACTACTCAAGAGGCTGGGAACTACCTAGCATGCTTCTGGGTGGATAGTCAGGGTGAAGGAGGTGGTGAGGTTAATGTAAACCTTGATTGGAAGATTGGGATTGCAGCCAAGGATTGGGATTCGGTTGCTAGAAAAGAGAAGATTGAGGTAAATGACCATGGCATATGTATAAATTTGTTGAATCTCCCTATACTGTGAAGTTCTAATAAAAAAAAGAGAGCCTTATTCCACTATAAATGTCACGTTGAACTTAATTGTTGGCAGACATTTAGGTATAATAAAATGTGTGCAGGCACTGTTTTAAAATACGGTAAACTTAAAGAATTAGTAATTGTATGTGAATTGAAAAGATTTACATCCTGTCATGTTCCGCCAAGTTATGAGAAGAAAAAACACTAAACAATGTTTAATGGACCCCACACAAACAATCGTGAGTTCACTCTAGTTGCTTTTGTATCTCTCTCACATAACATAACAACATGAGAGGATCCAAATCTGAATTGAAATCTATACCTCTTCTGTTTGCTTTTGGATGCTTCTGTTCGCTGATTTGTCTCTACGTGATTGACACATAGGGAGTTGAGCTTGAGCTGAGAAAGCTAGAAGGAGCAGTGGAAGCCATCCATGAGAATTTGCTCTATCTTAAGGGCAGGTAATTCCAATCACATCAACATCATCCCTATAAAGAGTCTAATTCAATTTCCTTTTTCAACTTTTCATATGTATATTTTTATTTTTTGGGTTATTTGTTCAGGGAAGCTGAGATGAGGATTGTGAGTGAAAAAACAAATGCCAGGGTGGCATGGTTTAGCATTATGTCGTTGGGTATCTGCATTGCTGTTTCAGGTTTGCAATTGTGGTATCTAAAGCGGTTCTTCCAGAAGAAGAAGCTTATATAGATTATGCTATTGTTTTAGTTTAATTTTCTTAGTGATACGGACAACATAACTTTCAAAGAAATTTTATGAACACTTCAAATATTAGACAGATATTTTTTATACCATAAGTAGAGTTTCCACCTTTTCTTATCCACGGATGATTATTACAATGAATTGTCTTGTATGATTGGGATATGAAAGCCGGCAGATAAGGGGGACTAAGGTTGGTTATCATATCTATTTGTTGTTAGTCACCATCTTTGTGCAGGGGACTGCCGGGTAGGATAAGATCTGTTTAATCTTGACTGAGTGTTTCAATTGCTATTGATGAGGATGTGAAGGTCTTATAGGTTAATTTAGTGAGAATATTATCAAGTGTGTTTGGTAGGAAACAAAAGGGTTAGAGAGGAAAGTAGATGAATACTTATATGCCTCATGATATTTATCATTCATTAGTATTGTTTTTGTCCTGCCATTGGATTTTTTAAGTTCATTAGATCAAATATTAATCTTATTCTTAGCCCTGCAAGTGTTCTTGACCTGATGAGTCACAACATTCATTGAACACATAATTCTCCTTTAAATAGATTATCTTTTCTGACTCAAAAGTCTTGGATCTTATACAACATTTAGGGCTATGTCTGGATTAATTTGGGTGTCAAACAACTTTAGAAAAAGAACTCTAGTGTATCTCTTGCATCCAACGTACTTTTGAGAGGATCTAAACGGTATTCCGAACATGCACTCAGTTTGGTCTGATTGTAAATGGAGTTTTGTTTTAATTTTTTTCTTGAAATTCAGTCTGAAATGAAGAAAATGGAGGGCTGTATTTTGCAAAATAAAGCTGAATTTAAATGAACTATGTTTTGGGTCCTGTATTTTTTCAAATATTTGTCTTTGATTGTTACTTTTAAATGATTATTTCCATCTTTTAATTTTTTAAAAAAATGTGATTTTAATATTTTTTATACTTAAATTTAATATTTAATTCTATTTTTTATTTTATTTTAATAGAATTGTTAAAAAGATTATGCATAATGTTGATTATTCTTTATACTTAAATTTGATATTTAATAATATTTTTTATGATTATAAAATTAATTAAAAGATTAAATTTATTATTTTTAAAATTTAAATACTATTTTGTTAACTTTTAAAATATAATGCCTAAAAATTATTTTTTACGAAAAATATAATGATTAAAAACATATTTAATTTTTTTATTAAAATCTATATAATTTATATTAATCTTTCATTCATGTAAACACATTATTGTATTTAATTATCTAATTATACTTATAAGGTGTGTATTATAAATATATATTATATTTAGATTAATAGATTAATTCATAAAATCTTAATTGTATTATGATTTTATCATCTTTATTAAAAAAAATTATAATTATAGTAATTTAATGTTTATTATCACAATTTTAAAATAAACCAATAATTGGTCGATATTTTATTAAAGCTAATTGATTGTTTATATATTAGCTAATAAAAATTAATTATTATATTATTTAGGTTTATAAAAATGAAAAAGGAAATAATTCTATTGATGATTAATATTTGATGATCAATTATTTTACTACTCTCTTAGGATTAATAATAAATAGAATAACGCTAAATTGTTAATACACAAAATAATTTGAACATTGAAGTTAATGCACAAATATATTTTTTATTCAAATCAATTGATAATGCAGGTAAAAATATATTCGAATTCAAATTTAAAAAGCCTACCATCATTTAAATTTCAAGAAATAAAAGTCATATTATCAATTCATCTATAAATACCTCCTATAACGTTTTCTACATATTTTTGGTAATTGTAGTATTGAAAGTTTGTTTATTCATATTTTTATACATTTTTATTTTACTTTAAAATGTTGAAATAACACAACATATTTAAAGAAGGTAAAAATACAATTAATTTTCCAGTATCATTCCTTTTTTTTTTTTTTTACTTCTCTATCAAATCACGAAATCCTTCCATGTTTTGTCTGGTTCAGTGAATGAAAAGTGAAAGAATGAAATTAGAAAGAAATGAAAAAAAAAACGAGTGAAAATTAGAGTTATTTGATTTAATAGAAAGAGGAAAATGAGTGAAAATTTGAGAAATTTGTGTGATTGATTTAAGTCATAAATGTTGGTAATTTGTTTTCTCGAGTAATGTCAAAATTATTCTCAAGTAATTTTTTTTAATGTGAATATTTTATAAAAAAAATTTAAAAAATTAAAAAGATTAATAGAGAAAAATAAAGAAATTTAGTATTTAAAATAGCATTTGTTAAAAATTCAAAATAATAAATATAAAAAAAAAAGTTTCAAGTAAAAAAAACCACACAATGCTTAATAAAGATAACGTTAACTCTATAATGATGTTATATAAACAAATAATTAAATTAGTCAAAATTTAATACATATATACTTCATATCTGACACTTAATTTAGCAACCCATTTATTTTAACGAATTTCATATGATCACATGTAGCAACAGAAGAACACATGAATATCATATCATCACATGTAAATTAACACATACTTAAAACATCCAAATCAAGTTTTACTAACAACTTAAAAACCACACTTAATCCAAAATACACACTTTAGAGAAGTGTTTAACATATGCCACTAACAACTCTTTATCCGAAACATTTTCCGCCGCCATAAGTTTTAGCAAAGAGTTAAGGCGCAAATGATGGGACATGCAAAAAATTCTTGGCACATGTGAGGGATTGCTGCATAAGTAATCATAACATTGTAATATCAACTCTTCATCTGCAGATTCAGCTTCTCTAACATTTCCCAAACTTCAGACTCCCCAATACTGCACAATCGAAGTTCTTCTCATGATTTCCAGCTGTTCATTCAATAATTCGTTGTGCTTGTCCATTGCAAGTGTTTGTCGCTCAGACGCATGTGATTATTTTTCAAGTAACATATTCCTTGCATGCAACCTTATCTAAACTTGTTGTAAACTTCTCAAACAACACATGTATAATATCAACCATAATTAGCTTTCCTTCTGGTGCCCTTCTGGTGCCCCTCGATGATGACGATGTGCCTCGAGATTGTTAATTATCTCAGAAAATAGATTTAGTTTTACTAAACTAAAAAATAGAAAATATAATTATCACGTATTAACAAACTTCTATTTACTAACAAAAGATAAACAAGTTTAAATGATTTAAACCACGTATCAAATTTAAACTATAAAAAACAAATAAAATTTTGTTTTCTGTGAACAAACCCTCCCTTAAACGGTATACTCTTTGCAACAGTTTATTTTTGTTTTTTCAAGCATGCTCAAAGTACTTCGTAGATATTAAAAACTAGGTGGTTTTGTCTTTATGTCTGCAAATGGGTTGTTACTGTAATAGTTCAACTCAATAACACCATTATTATACAAATCTGTCAAAAAAATAAAATTTTACATCAATATGTTTACTTGTTTTTGGATAATTTTATTGTAGAAGTATTATAACATAAAATGAGTAGTTCCCTCTTCATAGTAATCTATATTCTCCAAAATTATTCTTAGTCAAACACATTAGCAAGCATAAAATACAGCTCCTATGAACTCTGCTTCTGGTGTAGATAAGCTAACCACTGGTTTTTTTTTATGACCAAGATATTACAGCATCTCCCAAATTGAAAACGTGCTCTCTTTATCTTGTGATCCCCTGCATAATCATTGTCAGTATAGACAAGTAATTCTACGTTTCCTCAAGCTTTATAAAAAATTCTTAAATTTTGAGTTCCCTGCAAATATCTCAAAATACGTTTTGCTGCTAGAAGGTGACTGTTTTTAGGATGTCCCGTGAAACGACTAATCATGCTAATTGCATGTGTGCAATATCCGGTCTAGTAGCATTTAAATATATAAGACCTAAGTCGTTTGAATAAAGTATTATCAACTTCTGTCCCTTTATCTGTTTTCAGCAACTTAATACCTAGAACATTAGCATTCTTAACTAAATTACAATCAAACATATGAAATCTGTACAATAAAAATTCCGTCACAGCTTTGCAAAACTTCAATGCCCAGAAAGTATCTCATACTGCATTCATAGCAAACTCATTCATCATCATACTTTTAAAAACATTGATTCATGATTTCATGATTAAATGTGTATATCAAATCATCTACATAAACACAAACAAACAATTAAGAGTGCACATTTCTCTTTCCTTTTCACAAATAGAGTGTGTTCATTTGAGTATTTTAAAAAATCATTAGCGGCAAGATAAGACTCCAACATGTTCTACCAGGCTCTAGGACCCTGTTTAAGACCATATAGGGCTTTTCTAAGTTTGTATACCTGATGTTAACGTCCCTTAGAGACATAGTCCTGTGGCTGTTCTAAATATACATATTCATTGATTGTCCCATGTAAGAAGGTTGACTTGATATGAAGCTGATAAATGTTTCACCTTTTTGTGGCTAATGCAACAATAGTTCTAATGGTTTTCAAACGAGTTACTGGTGCAAAAATCTCGCTATAATTGATTCCCTCTTCTTGATTGTATCATTTTGCTACTAGTCTGACTTTAAATTTGTCAATCTCCATTGTCTCTTCAATTTTGTCTTGTAAATCTACTTGACACCTGTAATTTTGCAATTTGGTGGTGGATCAACTAGCTCCATGTATCATTTCTTTGAATGGCTTGAAATTCAACATCGATGACATTTCTCTAAATATTGACTTTGTGATGCTTGGTGTATGTTACTGGATCTTCTGCACCTGCAAACATTGCAAAATTTATAGCATCTTCATTAATTAAATCATCATCAGGACATAATCTTTCATCTAGGTTGGTGGTCTTCTAGCCATCCCTTCCATTGGAAGGGCTCTTACTAAAGAATCAGATGTTGAGTCCATCCCTGTTGTATTGGTGGTTGCTATTACATCATCATTAGGACAGAGATAAAAGGAATAGGTGAGTAGGTGATGTTACCCCTAAACTTGATGTTACCCCTAAACTTGACACCCCTAAACAATTAAGAATCAACATTAATCGTCTCTTTGCTCAGGAAAGGATAAATATGCTCAAAAAATTCCACATGTCTCCTGAGGAAAGTCTCTCTGGATAGTAAGTCATATAAGAGATAACCCTTCACATTGTGTTTGAAGCCCAAAAAACACATTTTTTTCTCTAGGATCAAACTTCTTTCTGTTGGTTTGTAAAGTGCTGGCATAGGATAAATAACCAAAACTCTTTAAGTTGCTAATGTCAGGAAGCTGCTGATAAAGAATCTCATAGGGAGTGAAATTTTTAAAAAAATTGATTGGCTGCCTATTAATAAGAAAAATAGCATGTGAAATAGCATAAATCTAGAAACATTTGGGAATATGAGATTGAAAAACAAGAGCTCTAGCCACTGTTAAAATGTGTTGGTGTTTTCTCTCCACTATCCCCTATCGTGGAGTTTCTACACAAGACCTTTGATGAAGGATTCTTTTCTCATTGAAGAATGATGTGAGATTAAACTCTGGCCCATTGTTTGACCTTATATATTTCACCCTCTTATTAAATTGGTTTTCAATCATGGCTATAAAGCCTTTCAAATGTGTTGCGACTTCTGACTTTTGCTTCATAAAGAAAATCCAGGTATACCTTGATTTATCATCTACTATAGTGAGAAAGTATTTATGCCCAAAATCAGAAGAAGGGGAAGTTGATCCCCATATGTCAACATGTATCATATCAAAACAACTTTAGATTTACTCACACTTGAAGAAAAAGGTAAATGTTTTTGCTTAGCTAAGTAGCAAACATTACATGGATCTTTATTCTGAATACAGTCAGTAAAGGAAAACTTATTTCTCAACACAACAAGTTTGTCATGAGCCAAATGGCCAAATCTAACATGCCACAGATCACAAGCATATGAATGAAAATTGTTAACAAAACAAACAAAAGAATAGACTTTAGGATTGAAACCAAGAACATAAAGTCCTCTCTTCATTTCAGCTGCACCAATCATCTTCATAGATTGGAGATCCTAGATTTCACAAGATGTAGGAGAAAAAGTCAATTGACAGCCAAGTTGAATAATAAGCTTTGAAATAGAAATAAGATTGAATCTGAAATTGGGAATATAAAGCACATTTATGATATAGAAATCTTCTAAAAAGAAAACAAATCCTGCCAAATCTGTGATAACTGAGTTCCCATTTGGTAGATGAATTTTCATAGGCTTGATTTTTCTAATGCACTGAAAAGACTTAAGAGTTTAAAAAACATGATTTGTTGCTCCCTGTGTCCAAGATCCAAAGATTGGATTTCACATCATTAGACAAAGTGCAGATGGTACCTATTTGTGCTTGAGAAAGATCATGATCATTGGAGGTAATGTGATTGGCTGAGTGAGTAACATGCTGATTGTCTGATTGATTCATAATAGCCACAATGGCTCTCTGCTGTTCTGGTGTGAGCTTGATTAGTTTGTCATCATCCTTATCTTTACTGCCAATACTCATGTTGTTTTCAAAGCTTAGTGTCTCTTTATCATTAAAACAATTTTTGGCTGAACTGCTAGCTCCTGACTTCTTATAATGAGGTGGAAATCCATGCTTTTTATAGCAATTATCCACTGTATGACCTGTCTTGTTACAATATGAGCAAATCTTGCCACTCCCAGTACCAAATTTTCCTCCTCTACCTCTTCCAGAGCTTCCAGAGAATTTGTTTGTGTTATTTGTAATAGCTAACACCTTTAGATCATTAATTACCGAATTAAATTGTCTTTTCTGTTGAATTAATAAAGAGAAAGCTTTTCCAATGTCAGGCAAAGGTTCCATTAACATAATCTGTGATCTAACAGCTGAGTATTGCTCATTTAATCCCTTCAAGAATATTATAACATAGTCATCTTATTGATATGATTTAATATGAGTGATAATTTTCGAACTACATGTACAATTTGTATCACAACTACACGTAGGTATAGGACGAAAATTTTCAAGTTCTTGCCACATAATCTTGAGTTGAGTAAAGTAACATGTTATTGTTGAATCTCCTTGTTTCAACATGTAGATTTCCTCTTGTAAATCACTGATTCTGAACACATCTCCCTGATAATATCGATGCTTGAGATCCTTCCAAATATCTGTAGTACTAACACACCATAAAATGCTTTCAGCAATTTCTGCATCAACCGAATGAATTAACCATGAAATTACCATGGTGTTGCACCTCTTCCAGGAAACAAAATTCAGATATGTGTTTGAAGGTATTGGAAGTGATCCATCAACAAATTGCTCCTTATTCTTTGAATTAAGAATCATTATCATAGCTCTTGCCCACGAGTGATAATTTCCTCCATTCAATTGAACAGAAACCAAAGAAATTGTTGGATTCTCGTTGATACTCATGTAATACGAATTTGCTGGATCTATGACAGAGTTTGCCATTGTTGCAGAGAGCGAGAAAGAAAGATGAATTATAGCATCAAAATGCGGAAGAAAGAAGAATTCATAGTTATGCGCAGCAGAGCTCCTATGAAAGGAGCTTTGATACCATATTAAAAGAAAAAAAAATTCATGAAAGAAAAACTTGAGAGATTGAAGAATTGTATTCTCATTGATTGATAGGAATTACAGAAGGTAGGAAATATATACATACGAAAAGGAGCAAGAATGGGAAAAAATTTATAACAGAAAAAAACTAACTAACCATTATACAAAACATAAAAGTAAAACTAACTATTTCTATAGCTGAATTATTATTGCGTAACAGAGTTCATTTATAGTCATGGAATCTAAATCATGAGATTCCTCAATGGAACATACTACATAATTGTACTTCAAAGTCATTAAATAAAGAATTTTTCAATAACAGTAAGGTTAGATATCTGCTCACCTTGCATTCTCATCTTGTTTGCAATTATGAGAGTTCGAACAAAGTAATCATTAATTGATTCACCATTATTTATCTGCAGAATCTCTCATTCTATAGTTGTGTTTGTTTCACCCTCGCAGTGCTTTGATATTTTTGTTTTAATGAATCTCAAATCTCATTCAACGTTGCCTTCTTTGAGATTGTTTCAGTTCTATCAATAGTTTGAAACAAGTAGTTTTTCACTTTCAAATCTTTAATTTCAACTCATCCAGAGCTTTTCCCTCAAATAAAACAACCACATCTCCTCTGCATGTTGTGAAATTCCAGCAGCCGTACTCTTTTGACCTTAGGAAGTTCTCCATTAGCAATGTCCAATTGTCGTAATGCTCATTCAACTTTGGAATTGCAGGTTACATGAAATTACAGTCCGTGTTGGCCATGATAGAAGTCTACAACTTTGTTAGGTGGAAGTTGAAACTGACTCTGATACCAGTTATTATCTCAGAAAACTTGGTTATCTTATTTACTTTGTAAAATAAAACAGTTAAATATATAAATTTAGTTTTACAACTGATGAACTATAAAATAAGAAAGATAACTCCTATATGTTAATAAATATATTAATAAACTCCACCTAATAACAAAAATAATAATACCCACGTACAATATGAACCAGGTATAAAATTTAAACAGCAATAAATAAAAAAAGCCTTCTTCTCTGTCAACGGGGATGGCATGCATTGAGCTGGACTATATGAGTCCACCTGAGAAGGAGATTGAGCAACATCAAATGTGGGAATGTGTGGTCATCATCCAATGTGGCTTCTTCAACATCATCATTTGGGTCAACTGTGACGGTTCCCCTAGGAAGTCCCAATCTTTCCAAGAATAGCATTTGAGGATTAACTAGGGTGAAAACAATTTTTGTCGTTAGATTTATTAATTTTTAAATGAGTTTATAGGTTTTTTTTATCTCCTGTTTTTCCAATTATACCCTTCCCTCTTCTTTATCACAATAGTACACATATCTCATAAGATTCATCCATCAAATATGATTTTTTTTTTTACCACACAAGTTATGAAAAGACACTGGATTTTCAGTTGAGTTTGGAAGAAAGAAAGACATAATTAAAAACAAATATTTCACAAAAGGTAGTTATGTAAGTTCTCATCAACAAAATTATTGGAATCATGAAAGGGAGGGAGAGTGTTTGAGAAAAAAAAAACATCAAATCAAAAGAATAGAATACAATAATAAGGACTTGAAGAATCTAAATGTATCAAGCAACTAAAAACCTAATTTTAGTGTAAGTTCTAAGGTGATTATTATCAAAATTAATAAATCATGTTTGCAATAGTTCGTTAACATATATATATATATAGGGTCTTCATAACATATGCAATTTTCTAGAATCATGAAAGGGATGCTAAATTTATTCTCCAAATTTACTCAAACAAGGGTCAATTTTCAAATGAAATTCAGAATCAAATACACCAAAATTGTAAAGCAGAAAAAGTTAACAAAATAATTAGTTCACAAGAAAATTGTCTTAAATTATGAAGGCATCAAGAAATAAAAATAGGATCTTGGTGAGCTTTATTCTATTCGAACTATGTTATGGTTGATGTATCTGAAACGGCAAATCTCGTCAAAAAAATCATCAGCACTAGTATGGCAGCTCTTCATCTCAAGAATCTTTATAACCATGCTCCTAAGACTTTTCCCGTACTTCACCAATGATTCAAGTGTACTCATTTTCTGTTCAGCATTGAGAGGTGACCTCACTGTGATCACAACCTCCTCCAGAAATGGAATCACAAATCCTGAATCCACCTGTGGAGCATCTTCATTAGATGAATTGAAATATTAAACAATATCCTTAATCCGAAGAATAACAATATTATGAACTTACATGTTTCAGACTGTTCTTCTGGCATAGTGCTGCAAACATGGCTCCATGGATATCAAACTTTTGCAGCTTTTGATGACTGTTGAAGAAGTCAACAAAGTCAATCTCTGGAAAGGGTTGAAGTGCATCATAGTCCCCAGTGAATTCAACCTTCATATAGAGGTGTTTAACCTCACTTGCCATTTTCAGCATTTTGCATATGGCATCCCAGCACCACTGAATTCCCCTCATACACAGGAACTCCAAAGCTGAAAGATTTCCAAAATCAACCATGTATACTCTCCCTGAAAGCAAATAAATTGTAAGGAAAGAAAAAAAGGGCAAAACATAAATGCTTTTGATATATTCTCAACATTAGACTTTCACCACAACAATGAAATTAGAGAAGAAATAAAATTTTGCGTAGAAGATCAGTATAGGTTATCAAAGTAAAACTAATTCTAATTTGAAAAAACTATCTACGTTTTGTCTAAAGACAAACTCTGGAGATTACTATCAAACAAGAACTCAAAACAAGATGGGACAATGTGATGAACCTACAATCCTAACTATCATATCACTAATACACCACTCAAGCAAGAGCCCAAGCTTGAACTGTCAATAAGAAGCAAGATCAAATTCTGGACCACTTCGTGTGTGCTTGCTGGGTGTTTTATATGCACTTCTGTTCTGCCCATAATTCAAGTACAAGATACTTCGTCCTGCTTCTAGCAACGTGAGTCTACTTTTAATGACACCAAACTTAATCCAAAAGGCTCTCATAGCATGTCGTGAACAAACAATCCAAGAACATAAGCAGAGAAAAATGACTTGAAATATATAACTGCAGATAACAGTCAACAGCAAACATATAGACACAGTAACAACAAAAAGTTAACTACCTGCAGTGTTAGATATGGAAAGTTTCCTCAGATGCTTGGTTTTAGGGACCCTAATCCAGCTACAGCCTTGTACCTCAAGGGACTCAATTTTGGGTGAAGTTAAAGTGAGAGAACAGTTTCCCATCCCATAAAAATCCAACTTACACAGCTCCAAACATGGCAATTCGATAGTTAAGGATCTAACCCCTTCACATGCAAGCAGCAACAATCAGGTAAGAACCGGACACGAACAAAGCACCACACTCAAGACAGGGTCCTTAAATCTCGCACCAATAATTTCAAGGTTCCTGAGGTTAGGGAACACATCCCACTTGGGGGCACGCACCATCAACACACCCCACAGTTTCAGAGACTCCAAATTCTTAGCAGAACCGACATAGTCCAATTTGGAAGGGCTCTCATGGAAGCCCTGATTATCATTAAGGTTGTCCATTCGGAGCTCAAGCTGAAGTAGAGAGTGCCCCACAAGTGCGAGCCATGACCCAAGGCCATCAGGGGAAAATGGGCAATACACAATTAGCTCCTCTAACTTCACCACTCTTGACACCATTCTTTTGATAATGTTGTCGGCACCCCCAGAAGATGATGGCGAGTCAAATGAGCTGCGAGGAAAATAAAGGGTTCTGACATAGGGGGTGGAATCCTTCCATCGCTTGGAAACACAATTGCAGGATGAAAGGTCACGAGCATTGGTGATTCGGGACATGATGCATTGGAGAATGGCATCAGGGAGAGCATCCATAGCTGAGAAAAAGAATGAAGAATCAAATAGATAGTTGTTAATACGTGCACGAATTCAACACCATCTTTCAAAATCAAAATGATGCAGTTAGAGAAACAGCAAAAACAAGAATACTCTTATTTCACCAGGCAAAATTGGCTACATAGATTACACTATGTCATTCGGCTTGAATATGAAAACATACACCACCACAACAACAAAAGTCTTACATCGTTAAGCGAAATTGAATACATAGATCATACCACATTATTCCACTTTGGTTACGAATACAACACACAACAGCAAAAACCTTATCTGAGGTTGGTTACGTGAATCACACCACCTTATTTGGCTCAGTTACGATAACAAACACATAACAAAACCAACAAAAGATTTTTTTTTTTTTTTCACGCTGTTCTGAAAAGCACGCACGAATTTGACATGCAAAAGTATTAGAGGAGTCCATAAATCAGAAACAACAATCTCCCTAAAATTCCATAAATCCAATGACTATATAACGAGGAAAGAAATATCAAGAAAACTCAAGACAAAGAAACAGTGATTGAACGGTGAATTTTACAACTTCAGCTGGCAGATTTACTGTCGGCAACAGAGAAGCGAAACATCAAAACAATGTTTCTTTTTTTGTTTGTTTCTCTGAACGAAGCACTAACTAAAAAGAACAATACAGAATCCCGATTCCAATGTAGCAAATGTGAATGCAGAAGAAGAATACCCAGATGGAAAATGACGAAGCTCGTTCAGATGTGCATTAAAAAGTTACATTTTTAATCAAGCACTAGATAAAAATGAAATGAAACATTGAGAAAGTGAAAAAGGGTGTGGGTAGATGGAACTGAGAAATAGAAGAGTGAAGAGAATCGAGGAAGCTTACCTACTGGGAATTAAAAAAGGTAGCATGGAAGATCTGGATGGGATGGGTGGCGATAGCGGAATTCTTTTTCTCTCTCTTAATTGGCGACAGATAAAGAGAGAGAAGAAGGAGCGGGAGTTCAAAGAGGACATGGTTTTTTTATTTGGGTATTTCGAAATTTGAAAACCTTACTTTCATAATATTTTAATTTCTCTCAATGCATTTCATTCATGTTCAATTACCAAAATTACGTTCAAATTCAGTTTATCCTATTATTAAGGCTGTGGTTGTATATGAAAAATAAAATTGTAAGGACAAGAAATTACTACTGTATTCAGTTATAAATAATGGATACAGCTAATTTAGTAATTAAAATACTTAAAAGAGAATTAATAACTTAATAAATGTATGTATCTTAATAAAGTTTATATCTGAGTCTTTTATTGTTAAAATATAAAAACATGACATTCTTCTCTCTAACAATGTTTGTCTTGTTCAATTCACAATGATAAAAGTTTTTGATATAACATATTTATTAATGAAAGTATACATACTACTATAAAAAATTAGAAAATAAAAAATATTTTTTTTATCAAATTTAATAAAATAAAATAAAATAAAAACAGTAAATAAAAAGTCCTAAACTTTTATCGTATTTGAAATAATTTTAACCTATAGATGTTAAAACGTTAAATTAAGCTTATACTCATGCTTTTTTTTTTTTTTATCAACATATATTAGAATAAAAAATTATGAAAAATTAAGTTATATCCATCCATATTTATTACTTTTGCATTTATAACCTTGAGAACAATAATTACATTTAAAACCTTATAAAAGTTTAAATTAATCCCCTCACGATTTTTCTTGTAATCGATTTATTTATTTAATAAGAATTTGACATGTGACATTTTTGGGATGTTTCATAATTTAACTATTTAAAAAAAAAAACTATAAAATGGAGACATCGCTATAATCTTTTCCTCCTCTCAGAAATTGATTAGATCAAAATCAAAGTCATGGAACGATTTTGACAGCTTAGTATATTATCGATTCTAATATATTGCAGATATTGTTTGCAGAATCTGAAATTTGGGAGTGAAAAAGGGAAATGGAAGGTTCTTGAATTGAAGAGATTTCTTGGATTTCAAAGAAGTTCACCTTTGGCTTTGCTTTGTGGTTAGATACTTACATACCATTATAATTAAGCTAAAGAATCTGCACCAGAAACCTCGGCGTGGGATCAAGAGTAGATATGCAAAGGAAGAAGAGGCTAATGAACTCTTAACAAGAACATGAAAGAATATGGAGGCATGACACTTTACCAGTGGGAATTTGGGAAGAAGTATCTCATTATTGCTAACAAAACCCATGGAAAGATAGTGTGAAGGTCAACAAAGTAAGAAAAGATTGAAACTTCCTTTTGAGGAGGAATTCAGAAAGATCAAAATCACCAGAAGGAAATCGATGCCAAGTTCAGTGCAATCTTTGATAAGGCATTTTTCTGTTGGAAATTGAAGCTTTGGAAACAAACAGATCCATGACGTGCACTGTTTTACAATGCTTTGTTTTGAGATTCTACGTTCTAACTGGAAAAGTTCCTTTTGAAGATAGGCATCTTCAATTCAAGGGAAGACAATAAGATCTATGTGTACGTGAGAATCAACCAGCCTTCAGGGCCATTCAAAGTTTCAATGTTGTTATTTCTTTTCATGATTTTTCATGTCTATTCTGCGATTCTGTAGTATATGCTTTATATATTGTTCTGCATCTTAAGTTCCCATAATTTTAGCGAAACAGTTGTAAAAGGAAAAGATAAGAACAATGGCACGCATATATGGGATTGAGAATCCATCTTTATCTGACCAACCAAGTTTGTTAAAACATAATCCTGTTAATCAGATATCTCAGTGATTTGATTCTCTTAAAATGAAAAAAAAAAAAAAAAACTGAATGAAAAGAAAAAGGAAAGGCTTGTAAGATCAGTGAAAAGAGCATAAAGGTGCATAACATATGAACTTTAAGATATCAGTGACAGAAGAGGGCAAGGTATTTTTTGCATGATTAAGCAAGGAAGCTTGTTTAGGTTGTTAGTATTGTTCACAAACTCTCTCCCTCACGTATTCTTCCACTGTCCTCTTAAATAACAACCCTTCACACCACATCAAACGTCACACAACTAAGAGACAGGAGAGAAAGCATGGCTAATCCACACATTGCACTGCTGAAACTCACCTCCATCTTCGTTGTCATTGCCTTAGGTAATTCATTCTTTAAGCTTTATTTGTTGCCAAACTTAGTGAACCAAACAGAGTTTTTTACTCTGGGTAAAACTTAAGTACAATTTCTAAAATGTTTTTGATGATGCTTTCCAATTGAAGTTCCACTTGTGTCACTTATGTTGACAACAACACAAAACATGTATTGTCTTTTGAAAGTCTACATGTTTTGTTTGGTTTTGCATAATTGAGCCTTGCATGTTTTGATTTTCCTCTATTCCCAACTTTCAATATTCCTATTTGGATTAATACACTGAAAAAAACGAAATTTCAACTGCCATGCATACCAAAATTCCATAAAGGAGCTCCTTGGATGGAAATTTACTTTTATACTTGATATTTTGATGTGATGGTTGGCAGCACCTGAACTTTGTGGAAGCAATAAGACATTCACCTTAGTGAATAACTGCAAGGAGACAATTTGGCCTGGCGTAACACGCAGTGACAACCACAGCGGCGATGGCTTCACATTGAAATCAGGACAATCAACTGTTTTTAATGCTCCTGATGGATGGAGTGGGAAGATATGGGCTAGAACAGGATGCAACTTTGACAATAGTGGCAATGGCAAGTGCCAAACTGGTGGTTGTGGCACAAGCATAAACTGTACTGGCCCTGGAAACCCTCCTGCAACAAGTGCTGACTTCAGCCTTGGTGAAATTGATTATTATGATGTTAGCCTTGTGAATGGCTTCAACTTGCCTATAGTAGTGAAAGCTATTAATGGCACAGGAAACTGCAGCACTGTTGGCTGTGATGGAGATTTGAGGCAGAACTGCCCCTCAGAGCTAGCTTCAAAGGACAATGACAAAGTTATTGCTTGCAGGAGTGCCTGTGATGTCTTCAATACCGATGAGTATTGCTGCAGAGGGACTTACGGAAACCCTGCAACATGCTTGCCTACAAACTACTCCAAAATTTTCAAACAAATGTGTCCTGCAGCATATAGTTTTGCACTTGATGATCCTACAAGTCTAGTAACCTGTTCAAAAGCAGAGTTTGTTGTCATGTTCTGTGGATCAAGGTAGGTTTGATCTTCACAATTAAAAGTTTCAAGCACTGGGAACACATCTCTAATTGAGTGTATCATAGAATCATACAAGATATTTCTCATAACACTCACCTCTATTTCTCTGGCTTATTTTTGTTGAATGCAGGAATCAAACAACATGCTCCTATAAGGACAAGCAGGTTGTATGTAATCGATCAAAAGCTTATAAAGCCATAGCGCAGAGCTGGTGGATCCTGATGCTCCCGTTGACATACATGTTCACTTCATGGATCATGCCTTAGCCAAATTATGCAATTGAAGGCCTGTTCTTTGTACAACTTTTTTTGGTGAAATTTTCTTTGTTACAATCAACTAGTTTATTTCAACAACTTCTTCTGCTCATTGAGTTTCTCTGGGCTAAGCACAAACAGAGAAGATCCTTCTCAATGTATTTCTTATGGATTAACACATGAATGATGTAAAGAATTTCTGCCCTGAATCTTCCAATTTTTTATCCCTACGATTTTTTTCAATTCAAGTTACACTTCAGAAATTACATATGAATGACATTAAGTGATTCATAACCTCCTACTGAGAACTGAAACCAATACAAATGATTACAGGTAATGATAATTTAATGCAGCACATTGCAGGTTTTAGAATTAAGCATATTTCTTGTAACAATATTGGATAGAAGCCACATAACAAATAGACTTGTAATGGAAAGATAAACATGACAATTGATACAGTTGGCTACACCAATCAGACAATCTTAAATCTAATAAATCATCTAACAAATAGAATTCAAGCTTACAGAGATACCTTTCTCTTCAAACAAAACTTGGAAAGAAATGCAATATTTAATGCAATGGAACATCACCCATCTTTTATCATGGGATGGGACCTGGAATTACAAACAAAAGAGAGAAAAAGACGGGGGTGGGGAAGCAACCTTATGAACTAAGATCTGTTAGCACATTTTGCTGTCTTCCATTGGGGTAACACTTTCAATATATAACATCATTTTCCTTTTATAAAATTGCTTAAACTACTTATCTTTGGCATTCCTTTTAAATTTTGAATTTAATTTGTAGTAAGTTAATCAAGAAAACTATTTATTTTTTTCATTTACTTAAAAACCATTTTCAAAGTGATTTCTAATTGTAACAGTGTAAAATTCTTAATTCAATATTAAAATTAAAGCCAAAGAGAATAAAGTTAGCTCGGGAATTTGCCATCTTTGTAGCCTCAACTTTACATGGGAGGTTTTTCCCTTTTTCCTGGTGGATTATTTCAGATATAAGTCTTTAAGGATAGTGGAATTTGCATGTCTCTGAAAACTTTATAGATTCATTACAAGAAGAAATTCATTAAATAAAGACTAAGGAAAAAAATCATTATTCAATAGATTAAATTTCTATAAACACTTTTATACACATTTTTCTAAAACTTAAAGCTCATTTTCTTTGTTTTTAGTTATTAAGTTTATTAAGATTGTGGGGTTTGAAAAGGCAAACTTTTTTTAGGAGTATCGTCTATCTTTAGTCTTTGCATATATGCTTTTTTAGAAAATATAGCAAACTTTTTATATATTATTATTTTCTTATTATTGTCATATTTGAATTTTAATTTATTGTTGACTGTACTATGTAATAACATGATTTTTTTTCATTCAAAAAATACATACATGATATTCAATTTTTAATTATTATTTCAAGACCGTTAAGACGATCACCAAGGCAAAACATAAGAAGAAAGATCGAATTTTGTGTTTAAAAGTAAATACGAACAAGAATTACATTAGTTGATTATATATTAAAGAGAAATTTATTATTTTAAATAATCTCTCATTTCTAGACCAAAACATTAACTAAAATTATGTCGGGGTCCTCACGTGAAATTAAAATCTTTTAAAACTTAGGTTAGATTTATAACCTGATTAATTCAAACTTATTGATACTTTATAGGTAGATGTTAAAATTAGTGAAATATATTTAAATTTTTTTATTATAATATATTTATTTTGCATTTTTAGTTTTTTGCTAATTATTTTACAAGATTTTGAACAAATAATCTTCACAACTGTGCTATAGAGTTGTGGGTTCATACATCGAAAATCTTGTTTTTGCCTTTTAACGAGTAAAAGATTAGACGCAAAGGAATATGATTCAAAACGAATGAGAATGTTTTACACTCCATAAAAGTATGTAATGATTGTGTAATAAAAAATTATTATTAGAAAATTTTAAATTAAAAAAAAAAAACTGATACGAACATTTAAATGATTCCCATTATTACGTTAGTTTATCTTTAAAATATTTGCATGCTGTTTCCATGGTGATTATTTTATATACCAAACACTGCAAAGACTTTTTATCATGCATGTATATAGTAAAAAGGGCAACATAGTTATAGATAATATCATAATTGAATTTTCTAAACATGTTTTTATTAAGAGTTGAATTTCAATTATAGATGCAAAACTTACTTAACGTTGTCACTTGTTAACTGGATTTGATGTTATTTTATAATAAATTTATTGTAAATGTTGGATTATAAGCGATGTTCTGAAATCTTATGAAATATTGTGGAGATATTGGATGAGGATGGTGCAGTTGTAAGAGTAGTATTTGAGATGCAATATGTGAAGGGGTGACGTGAGAAATAGTGAGTTGACAAATAAAATAATTAGAAAGTGAGTGGGAGACATGGCCAGCCCATTTTGCATCCTGCTTTTGAAGCAAGTCAAAAAGCAAACTGAAATCACAATGCAAGCAAATTGCAACATAACAACCATGGTCAAAGAAAGACTCTTTATCTTCAAACCATTTGCAAGACAATTAGCAGCAAAAGAGTTGCACTCTAAGGGCACAAAAGTCTTTACTGCAAAAGGGAAGACCATTTTTTCGTCATAAATGTACAACACCTAAGCAGATATATAGGTGCAATTTAAACTTCTCCAATGGATTCAAAGTCTTTGAAAACAACAGAAGCACCCAAAGGCCAAAATATTCCAATAGATAGTATTACTCCATGCACGCTTATGCACCTTCTTTCTACAAAAAGCCACTCTTATTTCAAAACCCATCATACAAAACTTAATTTTCTTCCTCATTGCTTAGTTAAAAACCTGTCTATGATCTCATCTTCATCTCTCAGCCAGAATTTCCATTTCCTTGTGCTTTTCTTTGCTCTATATAGCCTCTAGGGTTTCTCAGAGATCTTGTTCCATAGCCATTTTGGCATTCTGTCCACCTCCATTAAATGGAATGTCTGGAATCACCCAAAATGGTGACAATTGGAGGTGGCCAGTAGGCCAAACGGGCTCTGTGAATCTGTCTCTGAGAAACCCCTTGTGGGCTCAGTTCTCTTTCGTATCTCTTCCCAGTTCTGCATAATGATCTTTTTCCACATTCTGCACATGTTGTTTGACTTACACTTATATATGATTTCTTTAATTTTGGTTTCAGTATGCACTATGCAACTTCTTATAAGCTATATGTCTCAGCCTAATGAGTTTCTATTTTGCATTTTTGCAGATTCCTACTTATCAGAAACATGCTCCTTTGCTTTGATGAAAATACAGTACTGAAGGAAGCAAGAATATTGATGAACACATTCTTTGAAGGTACTTAGTTTTTGCTTTTATTTTTCCTAGTAAAAGAGGATCTTGGGGGTGGAAGTAACTCTGACCAGTAACTTACTGATCATACCCTATTACTTTATTTTATTGTGTTGGTGATAAGTTAAGTCAACCACCAAACTTGAACGTGAATAAGTAAATACTTTTATTTAACTTCCCCTTTTGTTAGTGTCCTAAACTTTTGTCTTGGCTTTGATGGTAATGTTGCACCTTTTCAATGGTTTAAACTGGAAAAGTGTTGTGGATATTTGCATGCGCTTCCACTTGTTGAAAACCCATTGGCTATTGTGAGACCCATTGTAGCAGTTGCAGCATTGGATTCCTAGAGCCATTAGAGTATGATTAATTTAGACTTGACAATGGTGTTTTGAGGCCACCATTATGAGTTGTAGCGTTTTCAAATGGAAACCAATTCCTGCCCTAAAACTTGTCCACACAATGCACTCAAACGACCATCTAGCAGCACCACCCACCACCAACAACCAAAAGGCTTATTATGTCAGCTACATCAATTCTTTGTAAATGGGAGAGGAATCTATTAGTGCCCTTTGGAGCTGACACATATCATCATATCATATGATGCAACAATGAATCAGTGTTCAGGATTTCAAAGCAGAAATAAACAGTTTTCATTTCTCATTGTAGCTATACCTGCACATATATTTATGTGTATATGATATAATGCAGTGCAACTAACATAATGATTACAAATTTACGAACCCTACCTAGATCTTTGTTCCTATATATGCATGACTTTACATTTCATATGATTTTATTTTGTTCTGGCGGGACCAACTTCATCATCTTTCACTTTATTGGGGTCAGGCCTGAAAGAAATTAATGGCAGGAAGTTCCTTATGTTAAAGTTTAAAATCATTACTTGATTATGCAATTGCCAAATTCTTCTGAAAGATGTTCTAAGTTTGTCCCCACTTGCCAGATTCACCAATTTGCAAATCACCACAAAAAGTCCACATTCAGCTTATATCTAGATTCATGGATTTCGTTTCAAATTATATTTAATTTAATCACTCCTTAAGAAATGTTACCCCTGTTTTCAGAAGAAAAAAAACACATTTTTTTCTTAAATAAAAGCAACTTAATGTATTGATATTATTTTAAAATATCGTAATTTTAATTATTATATAATTTTTTATTATACTATCATAATATTTAATGTTTTTTTTCTTTTAAAAATATCCCTTTTATTCAGACCGAAATGATAATTAATTAGTAATTGTTATGTTGTGATAGTGGACATTGACTAGGAATATGTGTTCGGATTTAAGACTTTGATTAATGTTACACTTGATTTGATTATAGATGCAGCACCGCACTTTTTTTGAGTGCGGTTAATTGAATATTTATTCTTTTTTTTTAATACCACTCTAATTAATTTTTGTTTGATGTTTGTATAGAGAGTGGAAAATGAAAAAAGACTACTCAAAAAAATAATCAAAACTAAAAAAAATGTTAAGTAACAATTTTTTAATAATAAGGAAAAATGATAGAGAAAAAAAAAGTCACTTTCTATTTTAAGATACATATTTCCCTTATATATAATCGGAAAAGAGTAAAAAATTACAAGAAATATATTATTTAAAAAAATTATACTACCTCTCTCTCTCTCTATATATATATATATATATATATATAATTATAATTAAATAATAATTTGTATTCCTCTTAAATACTTTTTACTCTCTTTTTTTCTTACACGTTCTTTCCTCTCTTTTTTCTTACACTTTGAACGAGCTCTGTAAATCAAATATCTCATTTTTTTTCTTATATTCTAGAGGTGCTTAAATAATTCCTTAAAAAAATAAAATTAATTACATCTTATATGTAACTACATTAGAATAGATAATAATGAGAGTTTTTTTTTCTTAATTTTAACAACTTATTATAGAAATAACGTTACTTAAAAAAATATACAAATAAATAAATAAAAATATCATCACACAATTATTTTTACCTAAATCATCTCTTTATTTTTATTTTACAAATTTTATTTTTCTTTTCTATATGGTTCAAAAGTTTTACTAATTATTTTATTATCCTTTTATAATTGAAATTTTAAAAATAAAAAAAAATTATTTAAATATTTATTATATTCAAAATTTAAAAAATATTAAATTTTATTTTTATATAAAAAAATTATTCTAAAATATTGAACATCAGTGTTTATAAAAACAATATTTATTTAGGAATATGAACTTATAATTTTTTTATTGTGAGTGAAAAATATTTAATAACGTTTTGGATATGAAAATAATAAACCTAATCCATATTTATTATTATAAATAATTTATAATTTTATCTTTAATTTTATTTTTTATTATGTGAATTTTTATTTTTAATAAATAATATTTTTATACGTAAATACTTTCTTATGTTAAAATATTATATTAAATTAATATTTGATTATAATAATTAAATTAATTTTAAATTTTTAAAAGATTAAATTTAAATAACAAATATTATAAAAATATGGATACTTATGAAAATTATCATTACAATAAAAGTTGTAAAAAAATTAGATATGAATTATTTAAAAGTGACGAGATAACAAAATTTATTTAAAATAAAAAGGTGTTACTGATAAATTATATGGTTTAATAAGAAGAGTTTATGTTTTATAATTTTACAATAATTATTACAAAAATCAACTAAGTTACAATTTTTTATTTTATTTTATTTACTTTCGCGATAAATAAACTATTTTCTCTTAAAAAAATGAAATGGTAAAAAGCTTTTCCATGTTTGGATCCAGCGGGAAAGGTTGAGGAGGAATAATTTGTAAAAATCGAAATAAACAAAAATACATAAATTTAACTGTTGAAATTCCCTTTTTTAGGTAAAGAAATAAAAAAAATTAATAATAACCAGAGCTAATCGATTATATCAATTTTATCTTTTATAATTTTTTTACTAATTCTTTTTTTTTTTTATCCCAATCCAAATAATCTTATTTTCTATTTTTTTTCTTTTTGGACTTCCTCAAATCCACATGCAAACAAAATTAGTGTTAAATTTGTTTCTCCCGTAGCGTGGATACGACTTTTCAATTACTAATATCTGAAATTAATTACTTGTTGAGTTCAAAATTTAGTCAAAAGGAATTAAAAGTATATTAGCACCACTGAGAAAATTGCAATTAAGATCACATTCTTAAAATGTTATATTAAAAAAATAAATATAAAATTTATGAGAGTTAGATCAATATTTATGATAAAAAATAATCTAAATTCACGAGTATACACCGGAACATGTCATTTTCTTTCTACGGCAAATGTAGTGTTTTGTGATGGAAGAGGTGTAGGAGGAAACTAAAGAGGTGCAGAAAGAAAACAAAAATTTTGGATTATTATGAAGTCGAGAAATGTAAAGAAGATGAAACCACATCTTTCACTTTGGGCCTATTAGTCCATTTCTCTTTATACACAACATCTTCAAATACTCTGTCAAATTTTCTAATGTATTTTTTCTCTTTTAAGTTAATTTTAACTATCAAAATTTATTACAGTATAGCATTCAACAATAAACTTAGTATGTCTAATAAATTTGTCAATTTTTTATGATAATAAAAAAATCTATTATCAAAAGCTTAGCTCAAAAGGAGTAATGAAAATTGGAGACAGAAGTAATTATCAAACAGTTTTAATTGGAAAAGGAAGATGAAATCTGGAATCAATATAAGAGATAATTAAAACTCAGATATTAAACATTAAATATTTCTGATATTGCATAAGATACTGCATTTTTGTCCAGATAGAAATTAATCCATGAAATCAGAGAGCATTAATGGCGACTTTGGTGCCAGATTCGCAGTGACCAACGAAATTGCAGATGAAGTAGTTTTGTCCCTTGACAAGCTTGATCTGATCACTTCCTGAATTATAGGTTTTGGCTCCTTTTGGGGTCTTGCATGCCTTGTAACCAGCTTTGTCTACAGCCACCACATTGTGAGTCCCAGGGCTGTAGTTGAAAACTGAGAGTCCAATATATATACATAACTCGAGTAAGAATGTAATAGTGTGTGAAGAGTTTTTGTTTCACTTGTTTCTATCTTCAGAACTGTTTTGGTAAATGAATTATGATCAGCTGACAAATTGTTCGAGATGTTAGGTTAACTTTATCAGTGAAAAAGTGATGATTATGTCTGTTATTTCCTTAATTAGTGGCTTAAGTACACTGGTTAACCAAACTCTTCTTACATTAACCTCTTGAACTTTCTTTCTAAAATGAATGAAAATCAAAAAGAAAAGATCCAAAGATATACTAACCAAGTGTATCACCAGCCCTGAAGCGTTTCCCTTTAGGCCAAGCCACAGTGTTAAAGGTCCAACCATTTCCATCTCCAACAGTGTAGGTGGCTGAGTGAGCCATCTCACAGTGAAGCACCAACCAAAATGACAGCATCAGAGAGATAATTGCACTGACTCTTCCCAGGGCCATGTTTCCAACTGCAATATGACACCAAAGATTGATAAAGAAGAAGAATTATACACTCTGTGGTGATGAGAGTTGGTTTATGAGCATGGTTTTATAGGCCAAGATAGTAGCAATTTGAGTAGTGCTGGGACCCTCCTACCTCAAAAATGATGACTCAAGGTCATGGAATATTGGACCAGAGTCATAATGGTTTTGATTTGGGAGAGAAAAATAATAGACCTTGGCCCTATATAGTCATAATGATTTTATTTTAGTTATCATTAAAGTTAGGAGCTTTAATTCATAGTGGGTTTGAGTCTAAAATTAAGTTTAATTGAGTTTATGCGACATTAACATAACTTCCAAGTTTTTGGGTTCTTATCTGATAGAATTTAATGAAAGTGCACCGACAGTGTAAATATATTTTATATTGTTAGTCAAACATAAAATTTAATATATGATAAATATGCAAAATTTTTATAATAATTAAAAATCATTCAAAAATTAGTTTATGATATTGATTAACCTTCCTAACAAAAATTTAACTAGCAATACATGACATTTAAATTCTATCAACTATATATTGCAGTATATACAATATTATCAAACGATTCAACAATACTTAGAAAGGGTTAAAAAACATTTTTGACACACTTTTTATCTGTAAGGTTTATTTGTAACATCTCAAATCTTTTCTAAAATAAACTTTGGAAATGTTTGAACATTTAAGTGATTGTAACATCTAAAATTCTTTTTTTATTAACTCTGTATACATATATAAAAGTCATGAAGAAAGACCTAGTCAAGAGAGAGAGAAAGAGAAAGATGTATGGTATTGCAGACATTTATTATTCTTAATAGATATTACAAGTAACATATATGAGAGAGCACAGATAGCCACTCTTTTTCTTCTCACACGCCTATGTTATCCACTTACTAAACACACATAGGTTCCCACTTAAGGGTGCAATTTGCATTACAAAACAAAAGTATGAGTAGGAAAACACTGAGATCATTAATATACTAAAAACCAAATTCAACACTAAACTCCAACTCAAGCAGCATTGATGGCAATTTTCATCCCAGACTCGCAGTGACCCACATAGTTGCAGATGAAGTAGTTCTGTCCCCTACTAAGTCTGATCTGATCCTTCCCTGACCGGTACACTCTCGCCCCTTTTGGAGTCTTGCAACTACCATACCCTCCCTGGTTCACCACCACCACATTATGAGCCCCAGGGTTGTAATTGAACACTGCATCCATATGCAAAAAATTAACACATGCTTTAACAAAGTTGGATAAAACTATTATCACAGAGGAAACTTCTTCTTCCCTATACTTTGTGTTTGGAATTGGAAATTACTGTATCATGTTCAACATAAACAAAGACATAACTGGTTCAAATATATACCTAAAATACATCATTATATCTATATACGGATAAAACATATACGACAGAATATTGGAAGGTACTAACCAAGTGTGTCACCAGCCCTAAAGCGTTTTCCCTTAGGCCACCCAATAGTGTTGAAGGTCCAACCCCCAGAATCTCCAACATAGTAGGTGGCAGCATGAGCCATCTCAGAATGAAGCACCAAGAAACAGAGTGAGAGGACTAGCACCATTGCACTGCCTCTTCCCAAACCCATCTCTTTTTCTGGTTCAATTCACACACTACACAGTCAGAGAAGCAAGAAAGTTTGGTTAATGGTGAGTGAGTGAGTGAGTGGAACTGGAACCAAGAAGGGTGGTTTTATAACGGAGGAATGAGGACCCACACACACATTAATGGGTGGTTGGTTAAATAGTAAATAGCATCGCAGACTCGTTGTCCTAGAAATTGTGACCAAAGCCACGTGCCTCTGGCAACCCTAATTATTGGTATATGGTCTCTTCGATAAATGTTTCGGAATTTACTATAAAGTTGGTCCAACAAGTGCATATTTGGCCTAAAAGAGCTACTCATAAATAAAATAAATATTTTATTATAAATTTTATTAGAGTTGTTTCAAATTAAAGAAAATTGTTTAACCAAATTTTAAGTAAATTACATGTAAAATTTATAATAAATATTTATATTTATTATCAAATAATTCTTATTAAAAATTCTTTTTAGAGATATCTTAATTAAATAAATTACCATCTTTATTTCACATTAATTACATCTAAAAAATATTAGATAATTTTTCAATAAATAATTTATTAGGTAAATTGATGACATAAAAGAACAAATTTGTTTGAAGAATAACACAAATATGGGTTAAATAATAACACGAACAATTTGGTAATTGTTGCTTCAATGGAAAGAAGATTTTTAAAATTACGATTAGCAATTTATTTATAAAAATTTATCGAAAAATCTAATTAATAAGAGACTTTTTCTTAAAAGATTTGAATCTAGAAGACTAAAACATTCCATTATAAAAAGAAACATGTTCATGTAAAAAATTGAAGAAATGAATGAAGTATTGTACACGATGCGTAATGGATGTGGAAGTACGTGTTTTCCGCCATAATTAAAGTTGTGAAAGATACTGTTTATAAAATGTTAGTTGAACTATAGTTTGATAGAAAATGTGATATAGTGGTTAAGTGAAACTCCACTATAACCCTAAGTTCAAAATTCTCCCTAAATGGTTTGACTTATTTTTGTTGAAGATTTTAACTAAGATTTGATTTTAGGTATGGCATGAAATTTAGATATGTGCCCTGCCAAAATAACAAATGTTCTTTTTTACTATTTTTTAGTGGAAAAGAGTCTAATATAAAGTAAAAAAAAATTATTTAATGTAAGAATTGAATTATAGAAGGGCATAAGTGAATATTATAAAGACATGATATTGTATCTATAATAGTTGTTAGGCTAACTAACATAACCAAAAAATTATTATAATATAATTATTGAATTATTATCTAACATAACCTTTAATTCAGTAAATGATTTATTATTCAATTTTTTTCTCAATTATTTGAACTTTCAATTATTCAAAGGTTTCATCATAATATTCGATCAACTGTTCTTTTGTGTCACAATGTTTAAACATAAACTTTTTCTTCCTTATTTTATTTATGATGAAATGAAATATCAATTTGATATGTTTGCTTCTTCACGATGAATTTGATTTTTGGCTAAATTGATGACTGACTTATTGTCAATTTTTAGTGTCATAATCTTTTTTGATCTTCTAAGGACTTGATTTACCAAATTGTTTATCCATAGTACTTGACAAACCGTATAAACAACAACCATATAGTCAGCTTCACAAAAGAAGAGTATCACAATAGGTTGTAACTTCAAGTACCATGAAATCAGTTATTTTTCCAATAGGAATACATAATCTGATGTGCTTCTGAAACCAACTTTATCTCCACAGAATATCTAACGAACTTTTTTCCATTATGATGTGTAGCATTAGGTTAATACCAAAATCAATCCTCCCTTTAATAACCTCAAAAGTTGTTTTGCTATTGCAAGATGAGATGTTTTGGGTTTCTCCATAAATCTATTCAGCAATCAAACACCAAAGTAAATATCAGCTCTACTACAACATATGTATCTTAAGTAGTCAACCATCTATCTATAAATAGTAGCATTTACAGGCTTCTCATCTTCATTTTTATTAAGTTTTACATTAGAATTGACTAGTGTAATTGTCGCATTATACTCACTCACTCTAAACCTTTTGAGCACTTCTTTAATATATTTCCTTTGACGAATCAAAATATATTTTTTTACTTGGATGAATTTTATTCTCTAAAAATATAACAATTTCCTTACACAGGTCATCTCAAACATATCTTCCATCTTCTTTTTAAAACCATCTATCATCTTCTTTTTAAAACCATCTATCGAAACAATTTTAAAATCAAATTTTTTTCCTCTCGAAACATCGCAAACTGTGTCTCATGGAATTCTTCAATAACCCCTTTTATCTATTTAAAATTATTCTAAAACTTAGTGAAAACAAAAAATGATATCCATCTTCACACACCAACAATCATATCTATTGAACACCAACATGATACCATACAATCCAATTCTTATCATCTCAATCTTTTTTTTTTTTCATCTTAAAATTCTTATACCACTACTAATAAGTGATCTATAATAACAAATAAAATGCAATTATATTAGATGTAAGAGTTAAATTATACCGTGGCACTATTAAAATATTATAAAAATAAAATATTTATAAGAAAAACTGAAATTTGTTAAAATAAATAAAAGCAACCTTTTCGTTAATGATATCCTACAACCCTACATAATTAATCGATCATAATTCACCGCAAACAGATTCGATCTACTTGTGAATTCCAGTCCTCGTTTTCGGCTGAATTTCATGTCACATTTACTACTTTGGACCCCAACGAGGGAAGAAAAGTCTAAAGTTTTCCAGAAAACGTGTACCAAATTAATATATTAGTTTACAAATAATTTAATATGTAATAGGTATATGGAAAATATTATTTATTTTTATTTTAGATAATTTTCAATGACAATACTTATTTGTTTCGGTAGCTTAGTGTTGTTGATAGTTTGTGGTTCTCCAAAAACATGAGTTTGTGATTTGTTTAGCAACTTCAAATTTTGTTAGTTTAATTTGAATTAGGAAATTGAGTTGGTGAGTATTTACAATTTCCTCCACTTAGAATTTAGTGTTTGAATATGGTTAGTTGGTGACACTAACAAAATTCTTAATTAATGATAATATTTTATTACTCTTTTCATAGTTTCACTTTGAAAATCTTCACATAACTTAGTGGCCTTCAAGTAGAGGTAGTGAGGCAGTCAACGGTGATCTCAACCACCCACAAAATATATTATTATTATTATTATTTTTGTGAAAATATTTGTTTGAAAGATATTAAGATTATATACTTACATTTCTTAAATTTACCTTTTTTTCATATATTAAGATGATTTTTTTGTTACACTTTTTTATTAAGAAAGCTTTTTTATTTCATCTTTTCGCATCAAATATAAGTAATTTAATAATAGGTAATTTATTTTATAACTGTATAATGTGTCAACATTCTTAAATTTAATTCTAATATATTTTAGAAATAATGAGATATTTATCTGAATCTTAATATATTATAAGGGTTATATTTATATATTATAATGTAATTAAATCTATTTTTTGTCATATATTAATAAAAAAATAATTTTTCTTTAATTTTAAAATATTTTAAAGATAAATTTCTCATTTTACCTCTAAATTCACCATTATGTGACTTATTTTAAGCAATGAAACACGTGTTATCATGACTTTTTCAATTCAAGCGTAAAAAATAGTTTAATTGGTGTTTTTTAATCCAAACTTTTTTCGTAAGCTTATTAATTTATTACTAATGACTCTTAATCAGTTTTTATTAAACTTAATCTAATTGTAATATTTATTAATAGTATTATTACGCTTTTTCAACCTAATGTGATCAACTTTTTGAAGAAACTTTTAACCTAATACTTTGTCCTACTAATATATATATTGATTTAGGATTTTTGATCTATCTTAGGAACTTAGATCAAAATTTAGGATAATTAAGGTTTTGGTGTTCCTAGTTTGACTTTCTTTTTTATTTATTAAATCTTATGATAGCTCCAAAGATTCTGACTTTAAGGTTTAAGTCACCAAGTATATATCAATTCTAAATCTAATATAACATAAGAGCACGTTTGAACAATAAACAACACATCTTAAGGAGATAACTTCATTTAGATTAAGGATAAGTTTTCAAAAAACTAAAGCTTTAACTATCAACAGCACCACTTAAAGGAGATAATACACTTTTATGAGAAATATTAAACGGAAAAAAGTATTATTAAAAAAATTTAATATTTATCTTCTAATTTCGAAAGATAAATATTAAGAGATAAATGTTAAGAATCATAAGAAGTATGTTGTAAATAACAAATTAGTGTAGGAAAATATGTTTATATTTTCTAAACAATACTTTTGCATATCTATATTTCTTAAAAATAAAATTTAACATCTCATACCAAATAAAATTGTAAATCCCCATTTTAATTAGAAGCTTGGGGAAGAATAAAGGAAGAAGATATAGATAAAATCTCTTGCACTTCCCATGACGGAAAACATTGAACCTTTCTAAGAAATTATCTGTGTGCACATCGATTTTCTTATATTTTAATAAATAATATTATTATACATTAATTATATTTATTTAATGATATACCAACTCCTTTTCAAATCGAAGTAGAAGTAAATTTATAGATTGGATTATTCAATAAGAATAACTTAACTATAAGCTTGTTGATATTTATACAATTCTTTAAAAACATGAACAAAAATAAATGTGATTAGATGGAGAATAAAAAATTAATTTAAAAATAATAATCTAAACAAATAATTTTATAGGAGACTATAATATATTTCTCAATCAAATCTTAAAGCAATTTATTTTTTTAGATAGTGATTCCCACCAGTTACTCTTCCGCTACTGAATGTATAGTATTTTTATAATTGTTTATTAGATAGAAAATAAATTACATTTTAAACTATGTTAAAATTAAAATAAGTGGGCAGAGTAATTTAATTTTCAAATAATATAAATTAATAATAATTATCATCCTACAATTTTACATTCTCAATTATACAAAGATTTATCATTAAAAAAACAACCAACAATAAGTTTAAATACATGAGATTAGAAGAGTAAAATATTTTTTTAATATTTAATAATAATTTGAATAAAATTAAAAATGATAAAGTAGATTTATATAAATAAGAAACACCTACAAATTTTCTGTTGTTTCTTTTTTTTATATGATAAATTAGAGTTCTAATTTTTATTTTATTTTATTCTTATAATTCACAAAACTCTTTAAAAAAATAAAATTACGATATAAATTAAAATTTAAAACAAATATAAACATAATTTACTTTCAGAAAAAACAAGGAAACTTTGAATTTAAGAAGTCCAAGTACAACATAATTTGAGAATGAACTACATTCTCACCAAAGCACGTTCAAGAAGAACAATACATAAAAATGAACCCTTGCATGCGCAGATGCATTATCTCAAGGTTTAAGAAGAACACCTCCAAGGCCTATTTCATTACTGTCTATGAAGTTATTTGCGTTGTTATTCAACAACATGACCTCTTCTGTGCATGACTCATCTGGTTCCCCTTCATCATCTGACATCTGCATAAGCAGTACGTGAAACTTCTTCAATATAATCTTCTTCCGCACAACCACTGAACGTTTCTTTTTAGGAATCTCAGGACTCCATAAACGTGTTTTCTTACCTAAGAAAACATGACTAATTGTTAGAAACATGAGAACCATTAAACAAGGAATTTACTTATGTAAAGTAACCATCACCTGTAACATAGCTTGAAACAAGAATATCTCTTGTACTCTTCTCATTTTTCTGGTCTTCCATTAAGCACTCAAATGTTTGGGAGAAGATATTCCAGACAAAATAATTGGCATAAAATGTTATTCTTGAGAACTACATCTACACGAGCTTATATTTATAATAGAGACATGATAGTTTTAGAGTTGCGGCTTTTCTAGGATGTGTGTTTTGTGTATTGGTACAAATAAAAATAAATAAATATTTTCAAGGAAAAAAAAAAACGTTTACATTATTCTTAGGTTTCCGTTTTTTAAACGCATGTTAATTTGACTTTTAATATTCCTTTTCTAGAACTTAATATGTTTGAAATACTTATATGTATGTTGTATTTATTTCAAATTTATGATACATTTTTTCTATTCTAATATAAATAATATGAATTATTTATTATTTTAAAAATATAAAATATAAAAATATTATCTTATATTATATTTAATTAAATTATAATTACTTTTTTAATATAAATTTTAAAAATTTAAAAATTATTATCCTGTTTAATGAAACAAGAATATATTTTATAAAAATAATTTATAAGTTATTTTATAGTTTGAAATAATATAACATATAAATTTATTATTTAAAATTATATTTTATAAAAAATAATTAATGAGTTATTTCTTATATTATAAAATATAAAATATAGATCATGTTATATCATATTCAAACAATTTATATATTCACATAATGTTATTATAATTAAAAAAATAAATATATGTAAAAATCAGAGAATGAGAAAAACTAAAAGTAAAAAAAAATCTAAAATTTGCTGTCATCTTTTTATATATATATATATTGATTGAAAAATAATGTTTTAATTGAGACTACAAATAATTATCAACAAAGATAAAAACTTAACATTCTTATTATACTTTAATTTCAGATAAGTAATATTTATGTTTAAGGGAAATGTTAAAATGATATTAAATATAATTAAGTATTTATAAAATTAATAATAAATTAAAAAAGAATTCATAATACTTATAATGAGTTTAATATTTATAATAAAATTATATTAGCGTAGTTTTTTCTCTACACATTTTAAAAAATATTATAATAAAGTTATTTAGAGTAAATTATGGTCACATTTTTAGAATTTTCAAAAATTAAATTTATCTATCAACAAATAAATAAATAAAAATATATAGAAAGGAGAGATCAAACTTATGCATCAATAAATAATATAACATAATATTTAATAGTTAAAAATTAATATTTAATATTTTTGTTTAATATTTAATATTTTTGCTTAATATTTAATATTTTTGTTTAATATTTAATATTTTTGTTTAATATTTAATATTTAAGGTTTAATATTAGTTTTTTAATATTTAATGTTTGATGTTTATGTTTAGTATTTAATGTTTATTGTTTAGTATTTAATATTTAATTTTTAATATTATGTATTTAATATTTATTTTTCAGTATTGAATATTTAAGTTTTAATGTTTAATATTTAATATTTAATATGTAATGTTTATTGTTTAACGTTTAATGTTTAATGTTTAATATTTATTTCTTTGTATTTAATATTTATTGTTTGTATTAAATATTTAAGGCTTAATATTAATTTTAATGTTTAATAATTCATATTTATTATTTAATGTTTAATGCATGTTTAATATTTAATGTTTAATGTTTAATATTTTCTATGTAATATTTATTATTTATTATTAATGATTAACATTTCATGTTTTATGCTTAATATTTAACATTTAACGTTTAATGTTTAAATTTAATATTTATGTTTAATAATTAATATTTTATTGTGTAATGTTTTATGTTTAATGTTTAATAATTAATTTTTATTTTTAATGTATACCAATTAATATTTATTATTTATTATTTAATGTTTAATATTTAATATTTATTATTTATATTCAATATTATTGACTGATATATATATATATATATATATATATATATATACATATATTATTGCTTTTATAATATGTTATATTAAAAATAACAGTGTAATTTTTATATTTTTTAAACTCAAATTAACGGCATCTCAACTCTTAACCCTTAATTTTATTGCATTATATCCTGACAATTTTTCTTTTAATAAAAGACTTATTTATATATATATATATATATAAATAAAGAGTTATTGTGAAATCAACATAATACCCTTTAAATCACTGATTATCTACATAATATAAAGAAAAATATAATTGTAAAATATTACTTTATAATAGGTTTTATTCGATGTTTTATTAAAAAATTATCATCAAATATAATTTGTTAGTTTAATTTTATTATAATCTAAAATTTGAATTAACCTAAATGGATATTTTATAATTTAACTTGAATTATTTTTTTGAAAATTTATTATTATAATTTATTGAATATTTGTATAAAAAATATTAATTTTTTATAATAAAAGATATTGAAAATAATTTTTTTTAATTATTATTATATTATTATGATAATTTCTTTCATATTAAAAATAGTTACTTATTAATTTTAAATATAATAAGTAAGTAACTACTTGGCACCCTTTTCCTGCGACTCAATTGCATACCAACAAAATATAAAGAGAAGAAAAAGTGAGTGAAGAGAAATAGATAAAGCTAACACCTACAAATCCAGACCAAGAGAAAGGAAAACACAAAGAAGCTATCACAGAAAAATAAAAAAAATTGGTAAGAATTTCTTTGAATCTTATGCAAATTCGCAATTGAAGTTGATTGAAGTTTTGTTCTCTTGGTAAATTGAATTCTACAACATAGTTCTTTTTAATTTTGAAGGATTTTGTGGAGTTGGTTCTAGAATTGCTATTAGTTAGAGAAAATGAAGCTTAGGGACATGGGAAAAAAACAACTTCCATGCTTCCATTGCGCGGAGTTAATTGTAAGTTCTTGTTTACAAATAATCTTGTGTATGTTTAATTTTGTGAGAGTGTCTATAATTCTAAGATTTCTTTTTAAAGTTTTAACAATTGAAAACCATACATTGATTTCTTTAATATTAATATGTAGTTAATTCAGTTTATAAGAGCAGAGAGATTTTATTAGATACTGTAATATATTTGTTGGATCTTTCGAGGAAAATTTATCGGGAAGAACATTAATAATGAGACATGAGTTCAATCCATTTAAAGGATTGACACCACTCTCAACCAAAAACCTTAAGGTTTTGGATTGAGAGTAATATTAATTCCTTATATGGGTTGAACTCATGTCTCATTAATGTTATTCTCTTCAGTGAATCCCCCTTAAAAGACCCAACGAGTGAATTCCTCCACATTAGTAGATCCCCTCAAGCTCACTAGTGGTCCTTCTATGTACCGTCGTTCGCTCTAACGGGACACGCTTACCTGACCTACTCTGTCAAGAAGACTTTCGATACAAAGATCACTTTGACCCACTGCCGATCAACCTTCACTCTGATATCGCTTGTTGGGTCTTTCGAGGGAAATTTACCGGGAAGAACAACATCAATGTGAATGTTGAGCAACATATAAGGAAATATGACCCATAAACCAATGTTTTAAGGTTTGGGTTGAAAGTGATGTCAATCCTTTATATGAGTTGAACTCATGTCTCATTGATGTTGTTCTCCTAGTGAATCCCCCTCAAAAGACCCAACAAGTGAATTCTTCCACATTGGTATATCTCTAAAACTCACTAGTGATCCTTTCATGTACCGGTCGTTCACTCTAACGGGACACGCTTACCTTACTTACTCTGTCATGAAGACTTTCGATATAAAGACTACTATGACCCATGCCGATCAACCTTCGGCTCTGATACCACTTGTTGAGTTTTTTGAGAGGGATTTACTGGGGAGACCAATAACAATGAGACATAAGTCTGATCCACATCAGGGATTGATGATGTATATTCCATAGGTTTTAAGCTTTTTCTAAAATCTCTAATTTAAAGTTTGTGTATTAGGCAAGCCTTATGAAACAAAGTTTGATTCAACTAGTTCATCTAAATCAAATTGAAAGAAATTGAATATCTATATGAGTCATATAAACCTAGATGACCCGACTAGGTTTAGGATAAAGATAGTATAGAAAATCACTTTCATTGATTACAATTACAATCAATGTTACATATTATTTTTATATTGATTCAATGTTTGATGTAAATTGTTTGTTTGACTTGATGATAACACGTCTAAGGTGGAGGGGAAAGAAAATTTGAATAAGTGGGCATAACTGTGCATGTAAACCTTAAACCTTAACATGGATTTATGTTAAATATCTTTATAGGATTGGCTAAATCATAATGATTTTTCTTCAACCAAAGTCTCAATTTCTATCCTAATTTCTCAACCATGAATGTCTTGATGCTAGGTCCCAAAGGGCTAAGCTTTGTGAGAATCTATCTTCTTCTTCCTATTACATCGTAACATTAATTAATTATTTGTACAATTGTTGCTATATCACTATCCATTTTTATTATTAATCAAATCTTTCCTAACTTATGTGACAAATATATATATATATATATACGAGAGTTATAGATATATTTTTTAATTTTGTTAAAATTATTATTAAGTATTTAGAATTATTTTATTTTGCACTCTTTAATCTTATATATTTGAACTCATTGACTGTTGCTTTATAATAAATCTGTGTATAATGGAGAGTATACAAATATACTAAAGTAAATTGTTTCTAGTAATTTAAAATCTTAGATCCACCACCGTGTCTACAAAGGACTGGAGTTTATACGTGAACTCATTCTTAAAGCAGATGAGATCAATCATGATATCTTCGTATTTGTCTTTAGACCAAAGACAAAATTTAGATACAATAATCTTAATAGTTGCTTATAATATTGTTCAATCAAAATTGGACCTTTACTTTCATAATTTATGTAATAAAAGTTTGCATTAAAAAAATTATATGAATTATGACCATTTTCTACCTAAATTAAAGAATACTTTTCATATATATTATGACTTTTTTTTAATATCACATATTTTTATTTATAATATCTAAATAATACGTGTATATATATATATATATATATATATATATATATATATATATAATAAAACCACTTGTGAGAATAAACCATTATAACGGTTAAATTAAGATTAAAAATATTGAAATTTTGAGATATAATTCAATTAAACTTGAATTATGTACATCTTTTTTTTATATATATATTTTCTCTTTTATACATATTCTCATACTTAATCTTATGTCATGACCTTATTACAAAATCAGTTATTCAATTAACATTCCCTCTTATATTCACTAACATTTTTTTCTATACTTATTTTCATATTTAGTTTTGGACAACATAGTTTTACATGTTCTAATTTTGTTTATTTCTCTTGTTTTTCATTTATTATTTTCATCCCAATTTATTTGATGTTAATTTGATTTTGTTGCAATTTTGTTTTGGACACATTTGAATACATTGCAACTAAATTTGAAAAAAAAAAATGGAATGAAAGAGGAGATAATAAAACAAGGGAATCCAACAAAATTGCAACGTTCAAGATTGTAATATCCAAAACTGAACAAGAAAATGAGTAAACAGAGATAAAAAGAAATTAATTAATGTTAATGAACCTCAGAGGAATGTGTTTTGCTATCATGATGTAAAAGTAAGTATGAAAATATGTGTAATTATGATAGTGGAGAGAAAGATAAAAAAAGAAAAGACACTGATTTAATTTTAATTGGATTTAATCTCAATCTTTTATTGTTTTTAATCTTAATCTAAGTATTATAATTATTATTTTTTTTATTTCTCATTTAATAGTTATTCTCTTATAAAAAGCCTCTTTTATGTCTTTTAAGTTCTATAATGTTTTACTATTTTGTATATAATCATGTTATCGATAATTTACTATAGCAAAAAAATATGTTTTTTATGGAATTTTTTTAGATTGATAATTATTAGGAAATATTTTTAAAATTAAAGTAAAATTTTTTACGTCAAATTCATATGATTCAATGTAATTTTTTTTATGCATTTTTTAGTGTTTTGTTTTATTTACGCACAAAACTTTGTAGTGACAACGTCGATCTAAGTACGATGAACTAAATCAAATATATATATTTTTTTCCACTATCTTATAGTTGGTTTATTGTACGATTCTATCATGCAAATTGTACTTTTTCAAATGTCAATCTCGTATAAGAAATATTTCATGATTCAAACGCAATAGAAAACTAAATTATTATCATTTTCATACCCTATAATTATTTCTATTGATTTTGTTTAACTTATAACTCATGTTTTTCTCTATATTCCATTGAATAACAATATGATTTAAAAAAAATTATTTTTTATTATAAAAGAGTAATAATATGGATAATTTTTTATTTCATAAATACTTAAAACCATATTATATTTTTTATTTAATTTTTTGTTTTAAGTATTTATAAAAAATTAATAAAGTTTAAATTAAACATAGGTGTGAGAAGTGACTTTAACAAAAATAAGGATATATATCTAATTTAATTTTGTAAAATTAATTTATAAGAAAAACTTATATCTTAATTATATATAGTTGGTGTTTTAATTTTTTGTTTTACATATTTTTGAAAAAGTAATTTTAATTTAGATTGTTAGATGATCAATGTGGTGCCATTATCATACCTTCCCACAATGATAAGAAAATTAATTATTTGCTTTCAACTTACTATTTTTTTTGTTCTGAAACAACGTTTTTATTATTTGTTTTCTCTGCAAAAATATAACGTGTATGGCACTATAAAAACAAAATATCAATGGATGTACGTTTTTTCTGTTTTAAAAATATATTATTTTGTTAATGATATCTGTCTTTTTTATTTTTTATTTTTAAATATATATGCTTTAACTTAAAAATAATATAATATAACGTGTTGAATATATTGTTGCTTTCTCTCAAATACGTAAAGTAATGAAGATCAACGGTCCAATATGTATCTCATTTAATCTTTAATGTTATAAAATTAACTTATATGATGAAGTTTGTAACTTTATAATAACATTATAATTTCATCAAATGAGATTTAAATATTTTAAATTATTTAATTTTTCAAATATTTTATTTTAATTACACAATTAAATTTTTTATATAACATATTTTAATTATCACTAAATACAAAATCATCATCAATAAACAGTTCCAAATATATATATAATCACTATAAAAATTATAAGTAAAAAAATATATAACTTATTACATTCATCAGTATTACATTTATTTATTTATTATACATTCAATGAATGTATTATATTTAATAAATATAATATTAATTATTATTGTATAAAATTCATTAATCTATATATTAATATAAACATTAATTACATTACATTAATTAAATACTATACTCATATATTAGAATTACATTTATTAAATTAATAAATATATTTTTAATAATATTATTAAAATTAATTATATAAGATAGTTAATAAACACAATATTTAATATTTTATAAAAGTTATTATTTATTTATACATTCTTATAATAAATATTAAATAATAACATTAATTTAATAGTTATATTTTACTAATACATGTATCAATTATTTTTTTTATCATTACATTAACTTTTTTTTTTTAACATTGAATGAATTTCTATTAAAAAAACACAAATTATCCAACTTTCAAATGAATTATCAGAATTCTAATCCTAAACCCCACATTTCATTTCTCTTTTACATTATTATAACGTTTTTGAAAAGTTCACATTAAAGTTTGTGTTATGCTGTAAAACGTATGCTTTTGTATGACACACATATACATTTGCAGGGCATGCAAGGTACTTGCCACCCTGTCCATTGACGATTTATTACATAAGAACAAAATTTGAATGCAAGAGAATAAAACAAGAGATAAATATTAAAAGAGAAAAAAAGAAAAAATGGAAGCACA